CAAGCCTAGAAGGAGTATGCTCTGCTTTTCCAAGGGTGTGTTTCGCTCTGCCATCGAAGTTGCGCACACGCAGTTGAACGAGGCCGGTACCTTCACCTCCCTTTTGTATTTGCTTCGGTCTGCAGCCTGGAACATTGGTGTGACGTCGGCACAATGCGTCGCGGGGAAACAGCAGCGAACTGCGGCAGCCTAAATGGCAGCCTACATATTTGCTGATTTGAGATGCCGAATCGGAATATGGGGCCCCACGTGCAAAATTGTTGCAGTCGTGTCTCGCTGCGCAGGCCTTCGAGATGGTAAAGTTGGAGGGCAAGCTGGAACCCATCATGAGCCTCACACTGCCTGGTTCGGAGGATGCGTATAGCACCGATGAAAGCATCACGCCTGTGTAGGGCTCACGGCAATTGCTGCCTTGAGGTCATTCCAGTCATCCAGCTCTGGTATTTGTGGCTGATACGAATCTGAATCCCAACAATTTGTGTCTGGAAAAAGCATTTCGTACACACCCGCAACGCGGAACCAGTTTGAAACCAACCTCATGATGAGATAATGTAGGGTTTCCTGCAAGAGGATTGACTTCAAGGGCACATTCCTGCAGAACATGCCTTTGCTGCGGCTGCCCCGAAACAGGGCGGAGCCCTTTAGCACAGTGTGAAAGAAAACTGGCAATCAGAAAGCGTGCTCGCTTGTCCATGCAGAAGGAGTAGTACCTACACTTTCAGCAGAGGATTGTTATGACAGCTGTTTCTTCAGCCAGCTGTTGAAGCCCGTATTCTGACCGATCCACCCGCCCCTCGACGAACCCCTTGGCCTTCGCTGAGCGACATGGGCCAAAGGTTCTGCGTCGGGCTATTGGGTAATCCAGCAAAAAGTCTTGCAAGGCCTACCCGGCCTACCTATCTTTTTTCAATGGTGGCATCATTGCCATCATCCTGTATCTGTTGCCATGTGGCCCTAAACGTCATGCCCCTTGCAGAAGAACGAGATGCAAATCCCTGAGAAGTCTACTCAGGCTCTTGTTCCCATGGTGACTTGAGTTCCACGTCCCTCAGCAGCAACATCTGCAAAGCAGAAGGCTGCCTCAGACCTGGCCAGCTCTTTCAACGTCGGTTGTGGTCGCTTTTCAAAGCAGCTTCATGCCTAGCAATGCTTTGGCCCAGACGGTGATCAACCTGGTCCCAGTCAGCGTCCCACAAAGAGGACTCAGCAAAAGACCAGTTTGATTTTGTTTCCTCGGATCCCAAGCATCCAAGGACCTGTATTTTGTGCTTGCTAAGCTTCCAGAGGAAGTCAGGACAGAGAACAGCAGCACACGCGGGTTTAGCTTGCAGACCATCCACCCGTCGTAGTGGAGCAAATTTTCTAGCTGGCTGTTGAAAAGAGAGCACATGAAAGAAGTATAGAGAAGTCCTTCTCACTTCTGACTAGTGCCCCCCATGCCTGTACTAGTCTGACATGTTCCTCATCAGATCGTGATCAGGGCATCTTCTGAGCCTGATGACAGAACATCTTTCTTCATGTTCCGCATTGTTTCGAGGCCAGGGATCCACCCGCGACTGCCATAGACTCCCAATCGGCCTGAGATTAGGCAAGGGCTTGTATCTTCACTTCGGCTTGGCTCCAGCTAGACTACCTTGACGATGTGCTCATGCAAGGCTGCGGCTGCATGCACTGGAGTCTAATGTGGGTCGCCCCTTGTTGCTTTAATCATCCATTATTCGCCCAAAGACATTTCTGGGAAAGTGAAACTACCAGGCCTACCTTCAGATCTTCGGTGTGCCCTCAAAGTACTTCTTTTGGCAGAGCTGTGATTTACCAAGATTCAAGGTGCAACTCGGCCAACACAACCTCAAGATCCTGCCCCGAGTGTGGCCAGCTGTCGCCTCACCTTACGCACCTTGGCTGAGTTGACCTCACCTTTGGCTGTCCTGAAGGGTGAAATGCCTCAATTGCATGAAGAGCCTACGAGGACAGCAGAGGGGTAACCTCATGGGAAACTTGCCTATGCCCTGGTCCCACCCCGCCTTGCCAGGCGCTACATCCGTTGTGCCAACAGCTCAGTTAGAAAAGCTGCTACTCTTGCATGACATCCGCGGCAAGCGCAGAGGGGTCTGGAATGCGCCTGACTTGAGTGGCCGAAGCATCATCTACCTATACCTGCTCTTCCTCCATGACCTATTGTGCCCAGATTTGAACACAGGAGCAGAAAACAGGTGTCTGTCTTCATGTTTCTTCGTGCCTCTGTGTGTGTGTGTGTGTGTGTTTGCGCGTGTGGCGCTGCAGATTGCAGCATGGCTGGCTGAAAGTTTGCATCTTGTCGAGGAAGGTTCAAAAGAAAGCTCATGAAAGCCTACCAGCTTGGGCACATGGCCTGGACAGTTGCAACCTAGGAGGGCAAACGAGGACCACCGCTGAGACTAGATTAAATGTACGAACTCATGTTGGGTGCTGTTCGTGTGGCAGCGAGCATGTCCTAGAGCCCGTCAAGTAGATCTTACAGACCTTCCCATGAGCACAATTCCAGTCGCAGCCTCACCATGGACAGATACCGACTGGTCCCTCATGGGGGTGGCGAGCCCCTGCTCATGGAGGTGCTCATGGTTGGGAGTCATTCATCAGGTCATCAATAGGCCATCTTTGGTTTGCACGAAGCCTCAGGCAATGTCGAAGCCCAAACAGATTGCTAGTCAGGCTTGCGTCCGCAGCATGGCAGGGTGCCCAAGGGTCGGAAATACCTATGGTTGCGGCGTACAAACTCCCAAGGGCAACGGAGAGTATGCACGAACTCGGGATAGCGATCGATTTGCGATCCTGGACGACAAGGCTTACAAGCCGAGATGGGTGTTGAAATTTTCATTCCTTGCGCCGCGCAGCGCTTATGAGCACAAGACAAGAAACTTCGCAAAAGGACGGAAGCCTTGCTGGACCAGTCTCAGGAAGGAGGATGAGCTAGGTGCAGGTCCAGGAAGGGGGCAAAGGGAAGAAAGCTGGAGCCAGGTCAGCGTGTTTTATCTGCCGTTAAAAAACCGAAGCTAAATGGGAAGCAAAGCGACAGGTGTCTGAAGGCACTGACACAAGAATTTCTCAGGAAACTGCTCCTGCTGTGACCAAACCCATCAATCTCACGACGTACAGGAGTGAGGACATTTCTGTAGTCTGGACAAGTTCGTGGTAAGGTTCGTTTTCAATCGGAAAGGATGCCCCACGCAGGAGCAAGCCCCCAGCTGAGCTCACCTTCGACCCCCTCAACACAAAAGAGCTGCGGAAAAAGAAGCACTATTCCCCTGATTCCCTATGTCGAAGAGATCGTGGGCCTCCGCCGGCATTAATCTTCTTCCTTGCAGAAGCTGCGGCAATCTCTCCACCCAACTCAGGGTTTCGACTATGTAGAAGTAGGTCTTGCATGTCTTCGATCTGGGACGCGTTTCGCATATACTTTATAACGTTAACAAACTTATTTGGATTCAATGGTTGCACGGCTGATGATGGCGTCTTAACAATCAATGTTTGCAAGTGAAGCCTTTGCATTGCCGGCTAGTGCTCGCTGCGGAAGGTCGAAGCACACACAACCCTGGCAGATGCCTATGCTCAGGCTGCATGGGTTGAAGTGCTATCTTGCATTGATTTCTGGACGGTTTTGCATACAGGATCAGCCTTCTCCCGCCTGAGCAGTGTTTTGAATATGAAAAATATCCACTCACTTTCGCTGACGGCTCCAGCAGTTTGCTCTGCAAGTCTTGAGACCTTGCTCATGCTGCCTGGCCCATAGGTGGCACTCATGCTCGGCGTGCAGCCAGAAACCTTCACGCTGCTTTTGCGCAATGCTCCGGGAGCAGCTCTACCTGTGCCCCAGCTGCCGCACAAAGCCTGTGCTCCGGCACTAGAAGCTGTTCGAATGCTGTTGAGACTTGATCACCTGCCAAGCAGCGCCTGCAATAGCCTGCAAACATGGCAATCATGATTGTGCCTGCATTTTCAGACTCTTCTGAGTTGGGAGCAGGTGCTACGCCTGCCTCGCTGCGACTCTCAAGTGCCTGTGAGAATGAAATTGTTGAGCCAAAGAGGGTTGGGCTTCGCCCGCAAGTACCATTTGCATAGCAGTGTCCTCGGCTCGGGTTGTGAGGGGTTGCGGCTGAAATTTGACGCGTTCTGCTTTGTGTTCTGGGTTTTTGCAGTTACAATTTGGGGGGGGGCATTGAACATGCAGCAGGCAGCACCCATGCCTCCTCCCCCGCCGCACGCAAGGAATCGTTGGATGCGCTACGCCAGTTTGCAAAGCCCGGGAGCGTGCATGGCTTAGATTTGGGTGGATTGATGGCCGGACGAGTCAGTTGCAGGTATTTGAAGCCTTCTTGGCATGAAGTTGAATTATGTTCAATTAATATAATATGTTCAAATGAGCAAGCAAGTGCTGGCCTGGCAACTTTCGAACATGTGCATACTGAGGACATGAGATTATCAAGTGCTTTGAAAGCACCGCCCCACAGACCTAAAAGCAGGGGAACCCTAATGCTGAAAGGTGCTGCTCCTGGATATGGATGTGCCGGGTGGAATGCAGAGCCAAGAGTGGACGGGTGCCGATCAGGCAGGTTCCACGTAAACGTTGTTTTGCTCCTGTATCTCCATAGCCAAGTTTGCGCAGCGCAGTCACAGCTCGGCAACATCGGTCTTGAGAGCACAGCACAAATGACGTACGGTTTGCAGCCTATCTTTCATGTCTGCCGGTCCTGCGCTTTTTGCTTGCTCGTGGAAGGGCGCTAATTCCAGAGATAGCCAGCAGATGCAGCAGACCTTTGCCAGCATCACCGCTATCAGTGCCAGGCAGGCCTGGAGACTGCATTCTTGGAGCCGGCCGCACCTCTGCCAGCGGCGGCACAGCCCCCAGCGCCAAGCAAGGCGAAGGACCGTACTATAGATGTCTCCGATAGCATTCGGTCAAAGACGACATCTGAAGCGACAAGACCTCAAAGGAGCAATGTGGCCTGCTGGGCCTGCGAAACATGGGCAACACCTGCGACTTGGCAGTCAATGATCGCTCGCCATGCCAGATAGACCAAATGCCAGCCGCATGAAACTACTAGCCAAGGCTACCTCAACAGCGCCGTGCAGTGCCTCTCGCAGACTGCATCCCTACTGCAGAGCCTGCAACGAGATAGCGACCAGGTGCAGGCAGGAAAGTCAAATACAACGTGCTACGGACAAGACAAGAGATTGAGCAAGCTCGTTTTAGTCGGTCTAAGCCATGTTGGCAGCTCGGCGCCGTCTCCCGCGCCTTCTTGGCCACGGTTCGCAGCCTTTGGAGCACCTCGACGCTGGAACCGGCTGTGCCAGGACCAGGGTTTGTCGACGGTCGACTCAGAAATCTGCACGCCGCTTATGCCTCTTTCTACTCATTTTCCACACCTGTTATATTATTCCACAACTGCCTCAGTCCCCAGAAGATACCGTTCTGCCGAAACAGCCAAGCAGAATTGGATCTCATGTGGAGCTTCACTACCTACCAGATCATATCAGGACAGCTCAAAGCCAGCGTATCAGCCTCCAGCGCCTCTCGCTTACAATGCAGGTTCAGGCTTGTAGTGGTCCATACTCTATTTACTTCGAGATGATGCGTTTCTTTCGATGATTTGAAGAAGGGGGGGGGGGCCTGAAGGAAAGATGTGAGCCACAGCAGTGAGCGAAGCACAGGCCAGCAACAAGATCTTTGCCGGCGGCTCACAGCAGGATGCGCAAGAGTTTCTGCAGGCAGGCAGAGGAAGCTGCCAATGTGTGTGTGTGTTTGTTGGCGGTGCTCGTTGCCAATGGATGCATGATATTCCAGCCTTTAGGCCTGACCTTGACAAGGGGTCGCTTGCGCAGGGCAGTGAGCGCGTGAGTCAGGAGCCGAATGCTTGCAATTGCTGTCTGCGGGTCGCTGACTGGGAGGCTTTACTGGAAGCCCTGGACCGTGATTTGACGGAGGGACAGCAGGCGGCGGAAGGCGCGAGTAACCCTGAGTCCAACCGGTTCGTACGTTCCTGCGGTCCACAGTCTAGAGGTCTCCCACTGCTTGTTCAGAGCAAATTGTGGTCGTTCTAGCAAATCCTTTGGAGCACCTTGTCTCCATTCTGGCCGTCGTGGATATAGAAATATAGAGAATCCTGTCAAACCATATCCATGCCACCCTATGCCACCTGCCTGGCTCTTCACTGCATGCCCACAGCCACAGCCTTGCCATCAGTCGAACAGTAGCGGGGGTGATTACTGTGAACTCTCCTGCCCCAAGTCAAGTTTGTCGCAGGCACCTCGTTGATCTCTGACATCTTCGAAGGATGGTTTTGGGCAGCCTTCCATGTTTTGCTTCCCTGCGAGGGCCAGACAAGAATTGCGTTGCTGTTCTGAGCGTGCAGACATTTCTAGAGTTCCCGAACCGGATTGTCAAGGGAGATGTTGCTGCTTTGGGTTGCTTTATGTTTGTGAGGACAACTTTGCTCAGAAGTACGCTACCAAGCTGCACTTGCAGCGCCCAGCTCATGCTACGGTTGTCCAAGGTGTTTTGGTGTACTCAGCCACTTCTCTTGTAGCCAGCCCTGAATGTCTCTGACCACATGCTCACCCTGTCGCAAGTCATGAATTGCCATTTGGACCGTCTGTCTGGACTCATCTCTATGGTCGGGAACGGAAACCTGTCAGATCTGGGAATCATATCACCGGCGTGGACTGAGGTTGCAGCGCTTGTCAAGGCCCATCCAAGCTGTGCCTTCGCTCCAGCTGGCATCCGCATCATACCTCTGATGCTTCCTGCGCAGAGGGTTTCAGCATGCTACAGCCCTTGGCCAGGCGTGGATCAAACCTGCGACTCTTTCTGGTCGCTGCCGTTGCCTCTCCCGCCAGCTGGAAGGGCAGCATGGCATGAACTGTTCGCGGGCTGCGTGAAGCTGCCAGGAAGTCACAACACTAAGATTCCACGAGCAAGCGGTGTGCTACAGAGCCCAAATGCCTGAGGCCTCGCTTGCGAGCATCTTGCAGACGTTTTGCAGCGAGGAGGCTTTGGAGGCAGGGAAGAAAAAGAAGAAACTTGATAAACGTGATACTCTGTAGACATTGGATTACATGATATTATATGAGAAACCTCCGTCTATTGAGTAAGTATGATACACTCCACTTACAGTCCGTCCTCCTACGGTGGCCAAAGTTGCTCTTAGACAGAGGGTTCAGCATAACATCTGGTTTCGATCGCTCAAACTTTTAGTGGCATCGGGTTGACACAGGAGGCGGACAACTGGCGCTGTGAGCGCTGCACCTCCCAAGCAGCAGCAAGGCCATGCGAGCTAGAGGAGCTCGCAAATTCAGCGGGAAAGCATGGAAAATGACTGTGTGTTGAGCTGAACCCTCCAAACGCCATAGGACCCCCCACGTTGTCCATGGCATGGGGACGAACCGCCTAACAGAAAATGCTCCTGCAAGGCGCCTCATGCTAAGACGGCTGCCAAATGCCCTCCAGCTGCACACATGCAATCGTCCATGAGATTCTTATCAGCAGTAAAGCTGATCAGCGCTTGAACGCGCTCTTTCTGTGACACACCCCAGCTTGTTCAGGAGCACCATTACGTTAACTTTCAATTCTGCTCAGGTGCAGTCACACTTTTGGTTTATTTGCTGAAGTCTCAATACATATCCCACGCCTTCAGCTGATGGACAGACATTTCCTTCTTAGGCCACTTACCATGCTCTACTTAGGTTCTCCAGCTCCACTTGAAGCGTTTCCAGTGGAAGGTACAACAGGACCTCTTTGGCATTCACCAGTGATGGGTCAGATGGAGTTGCAACAACCAACAACAGCGTTTTCACAGCAGGAAAAGACACGGCCTTCGTCAGCGGACCCTGCCTTTGCTTGTCCGGTGCAAGAGCCGCCTGCGAAGGCAGTCTTGCTCAGCTGCTCTGGTTGCCTTTTGGCATGCGTGTTCCTCTCTGCCATGAATGAAGCGCAAGGTTGCCAAACCTGCAGAGTCGGCAGAAGCCACAATCAGCGTGGTTCCTGCGGAGCTTGACATAGGCCAGCAGCGATGTGCTGAGTAGCAGCTGCTATGTGAGCAAAAGCAGGGCTACGTCGCTTCCCCCGAAGCCCTTACCGCCAGAAGCTGCAGCTCCGGCCAGCATGTCGGATGCGGAGCAAGCAGACCTGGCCCCTCTGCAGCGGCGCCTTGGATTGGCGAAGAGTCCAGCAATCGCCGTTTGCATCCAGTTCTTGCAAGTTTTTCCCTAGACATGCTTCTGTGCTGAGGACTGCAAGGCTCCCTTGGGACAAGCAAGAGAAGATGCTCGGTGCGGAATTGAAGCACAGTCGGCCACGGCATCACACAGACTAGAGCATTGGCAGACTTTAGATGCACACGTGCGTTGAAATCGGCCGGGGGTGTAATAGTGCGATGACATTTGAAGGTCAGGCTTGAGCTTGAGAGAGTTCGCTCCATACTGTAAGTGTCAGATCAACAAATCTTGAGATAGAGTTAACAGGCGCATAGAAGCGAACCTCAAAGTCTATAATACCTGCAGACTTCAGTAATGCTCGGCAAGATAGCTCTGTTGTGCCCAATCATTCTGTATGTGTGTGTTGAACCTGATGTTAATACAGTTCTTATGCATGCAATAGAACAGATACGAAATTGCAAAAAATGTCGGGGTTGTGGTCGATCACCATAAATGGGGACGGAACAAAAGTTGATCCTAAAATGATAGTTCATTACAAAATCAAGATGCAGGGCCAGAGCAAGATCAGCCCAGGCAGTGATCTGCACCACTTGCATTGCTCTATATTGCTCTCCGGGCTCTCTTGCTGTGCAGAGTCAGGCAGGAATCATGAACCTTACGCATTTCTCCATTTCTGATGCACAGGACGTTCCTGACTTTTGATATCTGTTGGTTATTGCACTGCAGTTCACGCTGGTCAGCCAAAAGCAGATTTTTCCTGTGCAAGGAATTGACTCCTAATTCGGCCCAGGCTGTATGGCTTGCTGCTGAGAATCCTGGAGCGGATTCGAGATTCGCCCTCCGACGCCAAGCTGCGATCCATCAGCGCGACTGCTAAAAGTCTGCGTGCAGACGTCCTGGAAGCCGCTTTCTTGCAAAGCTTCCACGTCTCTTCCATTGCTTTCCGCCTGACATTGTTGGATTTCTGCGTGACATTGTGGGTCTTTGCCCAACTCCTCTACGTTGCAAACTGGCTGTCTCCACGAGATTTGAGCTTTGCCTGACAGAAGGCTGAACCGAACGGAGTCTGTGGTTCGCATGGTTGCCACATGTTGCACAAAGCTCCGTTTGCTCAGAGAACATGAGTCAGGTGGACGGAGGGCCTGAGCTATTGCAGTGGGCTGGCTTTTGCCGCGTTGGTGACCGCCTCCCGGCCCAGATTCGACTGCAAGTCTTTTCGCAACGTTGGGGGCAGATTGAGATTTCGGCCCTCTCAAGGCTTCCAAGCCGATCCTATGGAACTTGGGGCAGACCTTGCAGCGTCACGACATGCCGAGCTGCAGGCGTACGCCCTCCAGGCCAGCTGTGAGTGTGGGCTAATGGCCCCAAATTGGGAGCGTTTCGTGGGAAGATGACATGGGGTATTACCCTATCTCTGATGTGGCTTGTTTGAGGATCCTGTAGAGACGTCCCAAGGTTGCGAGGAGCAGGAAAGGTTAGCAACTTTAAGCACTTAAGTCGCCAGCTGGCGGAAGCCTGCATTCATGACTCGCGCGCCGTCTTTACAGATAGCTTCATGTCATGATGAGGCTGAGACATAAGAGGCGCACTGTTTACTTGCAACCTCAATTCTTATCTTAATACTAGTCATCCGTCAACCACTTTCCAGTATCGACACCGCTCTTGCCATCGTTCTGCGTTTCTCCTGCAAGCCCGCTCAAGCCAGGAGCGTGATGCCAACTTCCGTCGCCAGCGCGATGCCCGGATCGAGGCTGAGCGCCAAAGGCCGTCAAGGGATTTGGCGGAAGCTCCAAAGCTCTACACATGTCAGTAGGGAAGTGCACACGAAGGTACTATGTGCAGCTTGCAGTTGTCACGGGAGCAGCCGCATCTGCTAAGCGATCAGACTCAGCAGATTAGCATTTGAGCAGGGATCAAAATCTTCTAGTGGGGAACCCTTTAGCGAGTGGCGGTAAGGAGCTTGCTGTAAGCAAACGTGTGAGTTTCGTAAGCNNGTAAGCAAAATCGTTCCGCATGTTGTGCCGTAAGCTCTTAGTTGGAGTTCTCCAAGTTGCCACCGTAGGCGTCGTAAGCGTTTGTCAAAAAAAGCGAGCGCCGGAAGCTGAACCTTAGCCTGGGTCTCGTAAGCCACCCTAAGCAAATTCCTTACGGTCAAAGAAGCCGGATAAGAATTTTGACCCCCACTCATTTGTCCATCGAACTTACCGCAGTGAGAGCAATGTGGATTCATCGACGTCAGCCCCCAGATCAAATTATTATGACGACGGAGATGAGGGCCGCTGATTTCAAATATTGCAGAACTACTCGAGGGTAGATAAGACCCATCACAAATGTTATGGAATGAGCGATGGATTGCCATGTTTTGGCAGGTCTAGTTTCAAATAGTGTGATGCATGCAATCCCTTCCTCGGCGAGGCGCTTGCCTACCGGTGATACTGGACCACCACTCCGCCGTTGCTTTGCAAGCAATGTCTTCTCTATTAGATTTCCTGCGCTGAGTCTACGCGCGTTGTGCTTCCCAGTTCGCTGAGGCTGGGGCGGCCGTTTGCCCAGCTTCGGCAGAGGAGCTCGTGGTTTCGTCGACACCTACGGCCTGGAGTGCTCCAAGTCAGGGCTTGCCGAACAAATTCACTTGGTAACTTTGTGCGTTTGCATCAGATCCGAGGACGTAGTTCGCGGTTTGGCATTGTAGCTGGGATCCCTGAGGATTTCCACCCGCATCGAGCTGGAACTTGATCCAGACAATCCCAGAGGCTTGAAACCACTGGATGTGTCATGCGTCCTGGAAGATGGCTCAGACCAGAACTGCGCTGCCTACGAGCTCTATGCAGTGGTGCAACATTTGGGCACAACTCCCTTTTCAGGGCACTACGTAGCGCGCCTTGTCTCACCAACAGCTCTGGCAAAACCTTGCAGACCTTGCAGCATCTTGCAGCAGCTTGCAGCTAGCAAGGGAATAGCTTTTTCAAGGTATTGCTGGCACCCACCATCTACCTCCTGGTGGTGCTTCGACGACTCCAGCGTCCGGAGAGTAGACAAATCCAGGACAAATGCAAAGGGATGCAAAGGGAATGGAAAGATACAAGGCTCATGATTCCGAGCAGAGACAAAGGCTTCAAGTCCAGATGGTTGGAATACAATGGGATGTCTTGATGTTGGAGAAGCAGGAAAATGCATGCATGCAACCCTACAGAGCCGAAACCTCAAGCAGTCCATAAAACAAACTCCCGTAAGGCACCTTGGTTTGTGCTGTTGTGCCCGATGTCATTGCTAAACAGGACAGCTGTCCTGTGTCCCTCTTGATGCTCCCACAATTCATCACAATTCCAATCCGATCCTGCGATTATCCAATTACAAGTTTGAAATGTAGAGTACTACCTTCTGCTGTCATGATGCAAAAGCAACGGGCCTGGGCGCGGCAGTTGTTCAGGCGTCTTAGATTTCAGCATCCCGGTCCCAGCAGCAGCACTGCCTGCAATGATCTGATTCCTGTTAAAGCTTGGACTTTGTTTCGCTCGTTATTTAGGACTCTGCAGTGCAAGAGTGCGCAGGATTGGGGAAGAGGCACTCAATGATGGTGCATATGTCCTCTTCCTGGAGAAGTGCCAAGGACAAGGAATGGAGCCAGAAATTACGCAGCTCTCTTTGTGAGTGAAAAAAGAGCGGTAGGTCCTTTCTCTGTTTAGCTCCGTGATTTTTCCCGAAAGCGTGGCGACGGGCTTTTTACCCTGGAGGTGGTTGTCTAATAGGATGGCTTAATGATTACTTAATGTTTGGTTGATAGGATGGCCTGAGGTTTGATTGACGGGATGATGTGATAAGGTTGTCTTCTGGTTGTCGTGAAGTATCGGACCGGATGTGAGGCTGTTGGCATGATGCGAGATTTAAGTGAGGTTTTCGTAAGGAGAGGTTTTCGTGTGGTTTTCGTGAGTCGTGAGGTCGTGGCTCTATCAAATTCTGTTGTAAAGCACAGGGGATGGGGCCGGCGGGAGCCGCCGCGTCACTCCAAAAGCGTCTTGCCGCGTAAAAGTTCTTAGAATATCTTAGAATCTCGCGCGCGGGTGACGACCTTCTCAGTGATTTGGGCGTGTCGGAGCACTCGCGCGTCGAGCGCTGGCGCGTGGAGAGTCTTTGCAAATTTGCGCGATACTGCGCGCAAGTGGCAACTCTCTCAGTGGTCGCGGCGTGTAGTAATGATAACTTATTATAACAGTCATAGTAAGTAGTTGTAAGACATGGTAATATTAGACGGTAGACGGGAATTTAGGACTTCCTGCCGAGTGCATTTGCAAACTCAAACAAGCGCTAATGTAATAGAACAAATGGCATGATAACGTGGGGTGATGATGTGGTTGTTCGGTTTTTGTGCTGTCTCGGGCGGACTTTGAGAATGATGCCATGAGATTCGGTGTGTGTCATGCTGGCTGTTGGCCAAGGTCCGGGCGGAGCAACTGAGGCCAGCGCCCAGCGCCAGCTGCCCGAGCTGTGCTCCTAAGCCAAAGCGTGCAAAGAAAGACAGCACATGCCTTGCAAGTGCATTGCCAATGCAACCCATGGCTTGCCCAGGCTCGTGCCCAAACACAGGACGAGGGCGGAGGTGCCAACGCCATTGTGGGAGGAGATTCTTGGCAGCTTTAGCTCTGTAGCTCTTGCATGCTAAGCACCATTAATCATGAATGAGGCATGAAGGCTTCCACAGTCAATTCGTGGTGGTCAATTGGGGTTTGCGGCATGTACCATCTGGGCAAGCTCTCAAGGCGCACTTCCCCACGCTTCTGCGCCCGCGCTCTCCAGGCCGGGAATTCTCAATCCTGGCCACAGCTTTTGCCACTTCGCCAGCAGCCGAGCTGCGGGTGTGTAGGCTGCGCTTGAAAAGAAGGGAAAATACCTTCATTTGCATTTGCCTCAACAAATTGGTCATGCATCTAAGGATATGACAGTTGGTGACCAGCTAATTAGCGAGGGCCGCTGGATGCAGCCGGAGGTGGACTTGCTGAAGGCCGCCTGAAGTCTTGTGCAGCTGCTAAATGTATCTAAAGTTTTGCTGACTCAGCTAGAAGGTCACCCAAAAATTGCAAAGTTCTGCTGACATGGCGCAGTCAAGACGCAGCACTTCCTGAGGCATTTCTGCCAGTAGGCGGTGTGGCTGTGGATGCAGGGGATGCTTGGATGCAAATTTGAGAAGATTGGTTATCGTTTTTTCTTGCCGGGCCTAGGCCAACATCGGTGGCTTCGCACTCCCCCTGTCGAAGCACGTGGGTCCAGATGGGCAGGCAGGCATGTAGATACATACAGGCGTGCTGAGTCCCACACTTTGAAGGGACACGCTCGTTTCTGTCAGCGGTTGTCGTGGATGAGGTCCATGCCTTTGAGCCCTTCCGCAACATTTTCCAGGTCTTGACGGCTAACTGTGCCATGCTTGGGTTGGATCTGGGCTCTGGCTCTAGAGTTACAGCTGGGACATCTCCCTGACTGTATGCAACAGCAGCCAAGGCGCCATCAATGGCCTGCTTAGCTGCTTTACGTATCACAACGCTCTAGGCAGGATTGCCATGCCTGTATCGGTCACTCGCTAAAACATTCAGATGGTAAAAACTAGATGTCCGGAATCTCGGTAGCACTCATCCGTGCCAGGTAACAAGACAGAGCATCGACGCCGGCCCATGCGAAGCTCTCAGCGCCTGCTGTGAACACCATGCGCGGGCAATCGTTAGCAACAAACTTCCATAGGTTAACAGTGAAAGGCACAACAGCAGTCTAGCCAGGAGTCATCTGCTGGGAACCCACGCTCACTTCTAGCCACGCTCATAAAACAATGTCCCTGTAATGCAACCAGGCACTTCTTCCACGTTCTCATGCTCCTCCCAGAGCCGGACGTGGTAACTACTCATACTGTTGGGTTTTCAGACCTAATCTTAAAGTTGTAGTTATTCGAGAAGCTGGGGAAATCTGGAATCTTTCCTGCACAGATTTCAGAAAAAACAAGTTCTGGCATGGACAACATTGCAGAAGGCCGGGTCTTGCCGCTGTCGGAAACCCGCCAAGGGCTCAATGACTGGGTTGCGTTCATTCGACCTCCTGGTGCCTTGTTTACGGAGAACCTTGGCCACGAAGCTTCACCGCCTCAGGTCAAAGTCTTTCGTCGTGGACGAAGTCGCTTCCGAGCTCCTGGGCCTCCGCTTGGCTAGAGTGCATCGATAGGCATTCAAATGGGATGATAGAAGCAACCTCTGTGCAGGATCCAAACCTGTGTGCATGTCAGCTGTCGTGAAGAGCATGGCACGCTCAGGGCTCTCATGGGTCGCACAGTCTGAACCGGCAACGAGTTTACATCAGGCCAGTCAGTAAAGCTAGGCTGCAAAAAACGAAAGCATTCCGCAGCCCAGGCTACTCGTCCACCACGATAGCCGAGGGCGGAGTGAGACGGTCAGATGGGGGCTTTCGACAGCATGAGTTCTTCTCTTCTCCAGGGAGACTGTAAGGAGACGTGCCGTTAAGGTTGCGTACTTTTCTCGAACAAATGAACACACTGTGTCATGGTCATCCCTTCTCCATTGGGGCCGATCTGGCAACATTCCTGGAACAGGTCAGCGTCGTCCGCCTTGACGACAAGCTCAAGCTTGACAGGCTTGATGCCCCGCAGATGCAGTGAAGCAAGGAGACCAGAGTGACCGTGCGCTTGGTGTTGGGAGGGATATCTGAAGCACAATGGGCTTCCCAGGTTATGAAGATCGACGTCGAGAGTGGCGAGTATGACGCTTGATTGCAATTTTTGCATGTGCGGATTTCTGACGTCGCTTTCATATTTCTGCAACAGCTGCTCCTTCCTTCGGTTCTCGAGCTTGCGCGGACCAGGAGATGCTATTGGGATCTGATGCAACCATTCGCACTCATCAGCCGCTGATCTACGTCGAGGCCTTCAGATCAAGAGTGGCGGCGTTACGGCTTTGGACGACCTAGCATGGGAGCTGTCTGACAGGATTCAGAATCCGATCAGCCACCACCAACTCGAGTGGTGCGACTGCTCTCAGAATCACACTCGTACTGGTGCGCCTCAGAGAGAACGAGTGCAGGTTCTGAATGAAGCTACATAGCCATGGCCCCTGTCGCTCTAAGTTTGCCTTTGTTATCCACATGGTCAGCCTGCCACAGTTGTAGCAGAGAGCTCAGGTGCTGACCCGAAGGAGCTCGGGCTCCAGTTAATGACGTCCACGCTTTGTGCTCCGCCACGGATGGTTGGCGAGGCCGGAACAAAACTTCGTGGTCTTGCTTGGTTGGGCCAATTTTCCTGCACATCATGCAATAGCCAGGCATAGCTACACACAATTTCTGAAGCATGTTAGATAAGCCAGCTTGCTCATGCGGGCACCTGTCTTTGTGAATGAGACAGTCGAACCAAACGCCTTGACAGATTCGAGACCGCATCCGCAACATCCGTTGGACTGGTCCGCCTCGGTGAGCCTCCATCGGCAGTATGAGAGCGATGGGAGGTCAGCCCAGAAGGTGACAAATACGTTTTTCAGCACTGCATGGGTGAAGATGGGTGATCCGTGCAAAAACCTCCCTTCGTGACTGCTGCTCGATCTTGGGCGGAGCCGAAAAGGTTGCTTGCCGCATTCTTGTTCGCATGCCGCATGCTGCTCACCGTGTTGGATATCCAGTGCCCTGCAGAATTAGGATTAAAAGGGGAGACAAGCTCATTAAAAGGGGAGACAAGCTCAAGCAGTCGCCGTTAACCATGGGCGTGTTCAGTACAAGCAGCGTTGACGCTGAGAGATGCAATGCTTTGTGTGCAGGACATCGTCAGATTTTCGTACATTCGTCTTCGGCGACACCGAGGGAGGCCAAGAAGAGCAAAATCACCAAGCCGTTATGTACTGCTAAATGTGTCAAGCAATCCCTGAATCGAAGGCTCTGCTCAACAGACCTGTCGGGCTCACAGCTTGCTGGAGCGACGCTTGTTTCCTGAACAAGAACTCGGTAAAGCAATTGGAGGCAGGTCTGACAGGTTGACTCCTTTAGACAGCATGCTAGACAAGTGGCTACAGACAAGGACGTTGTCGCGACATTGGCTCAATGTTTGCGCCAATCGCGCTGCACATCTGCAACATGGAGATAACTTTGCGGCATCCAGGATCAAGAAGTTGACGAAGGTAGGCCAATAGGCCGCAAACTCAAAACCTCCCAAAATGGTGCCTGCAGAGGTGGCAATGGGAAAACCTACGAGCCCCGTGCATTCCGAAGGTCCTCCAGAATACCGTCATCTTGAGAAATTGCCGAAAAACAACATTTACTAGATTTGATTGGCCCCGTGCGGGTCGAGCCCGGTCTTGTTGCTTGCCTATGCACCATGACCAAGCCACCACGCTGCATGACAAGTCCCAGACAGCCCATACACAACCAACAGTTCACAGCTTTGTTTTTTTAAACACACAGCCCAAAAACAAGGTTTAGCGTCCTCCACAGAGCCAGAGGAGCTAGTTTCTTCAAGCCAGGCCTCCAAAGGTCGTCAAACTCGCACCGCTTTTGGTAACTCACTTGCGCTTCTCTTGGCCTCTCGGTATGGCGGCGCTTCGCCGTCAGCTCATCTCAATTGGAGAGGCGCGGCTGCCATTCCACAAGCTTGGGCTTCACCCTCACAGTCATGCTATCCAGAAGAGACCTGAACGATTGTCACTGGAACTTCCGGGAAGCTGAAGCATTTGAGCTTTGCAAACGTATGCCGACTCCTGCACCTGTACGCCAGGACGATGAGGATGAAGGGCCAATGTTCAAAGTGTGGCCTGGCAGCATGCTCCAAGAGTACTCCTGCGCTCAGCCTCATTCCATGCATGTTGGAGGCTTCAAAATGATATTTCTCTAGCATATAAGCCACATATGTGCTCAGCAGCTTGTTTGCAAGGAAAGCATATGCCATAAATGTCAAGTGCTTGTTCAGGTAGTTAGCCCCTTCTTCCATCCTGTGCTTCTGACCAGGAAAAAGACCCGCCTCAGTCGGCAAATGGCTGCGACAAAGGTGCGGGAAGATAGAGAGCAAACGGTCTTGTACTTGTAGGTTCCTTGTCTCCGCACGTGCAGTACACGAGCGAGAGAGCGAGAGGGGGCGCGCAAGGCCACTCTAGAGCCGGCAGAAGAAGAAGGGGTGTTTCAACCGCCCGTAGAAGAAGAGGGGTGTTTCAGTTGCAGAGAACTATCTCTTAGCGAGCGCCATCTTGACTCTCATGGCTATGCGCATCCCCTTCTGAGGCCCCTGCTGATGTCACCAGCACCTTCCGGCGCTCTTCCAAGCCAAAGGGCTTGCGGTCCAAGGCCCACTCGACCGTTTCATGTAGCAACGACGCTGTGTCAATGGTAGTGACAGTGAAGGCTTCGCACACCAGTTAGGTATAGAAGATCGATGTCTGACGCTAACTGTAGCTTTTGGCAGCATGGCACCGGGGACTGAGCTTGATAGTTATTCGTTGTAACACCGGGGGACGGCCAATTCGAGGCTGGAGCCGTGGGCTGAATTGCTTAGCACAGGGTGGGTGGTCAGTTGGCCCCGCAAATCCTTTCTGAGCTCTAGCTGGGGCGGATCGGTAAGGTGGCGTGGGGAAAGAGTGGACAGAGCGGAGCTTATCTGCTCCAGATACTGGCCGCACGCTGACCTGAGGCCGCAGCGCGGCAGCTGTGACGACCACATTCACTTGAAATGTGAATAACACTTCCAGCAAAAGCCGAAAAACCGACCTGAACACGCTACGTACCACTTGTTGTCCTTTGGTAGTTGCAACACTCAGGCCGAAGAGACAGAACAGCCAGAGATCCTCACACCGCCTACACCTCAGGCAATCTGGGGGCCTGCGCTTACCTCTCAAGCACTTTCAAGCACGCCTTCGCGCACAGTTTCTCACAGCGGCTGCAAGCAGGATCTGCAGCCCCTGTGCAGGTGCAGGCAGTGCAAGTGGAGCCTACTCCAGAGCCAGAGCCCGTGAGCGAGCCTATGGAACCTGTGGAGAGAGACTCGGAGACCCTTGGAAAACAGTATGTTGACCGTGGCCGTGTGCTGTGAGACGCTGACACAAAGACTGAACTCTAAGGGATGAGGCTGCGGGAGAAGAATCCAAGGCGGCGGGGATTGGAACAAAGTCGGCGATTGTTGCATTATGTTGCAGTATTAGCTATAGCGGATTCCTTTTGCATAGGGCACGCCCAATGGAGGGCAGAAATATGTTGTAGCTGTGTTGAGGTTGCACAAAGCAGCATTTGTTGCAAGCTTGTTGTTCAAAGTCATGTAAAATCTCATGGTGCTGTCCTTTGAAAAAGATACGCGTACTGCTTTTGTTGGGCTGCTGGTAGCTGAGCTTTCTTTCGGGTGGGTGCGCAGTGCGCGCAGTGCCAAATCTTGTATACCTTACACGAAGATATACAAAGACTCCGTGACCGCTGCGGCGGGCGACTCCCATCAACGCATGATTACAGTCGTCTCGTTGCGGTAAGGCAGTCCTGGCAGCACGGCTGGCAAGAGCACAGCACCTCGTGCGGCAATTGTTGCTTAGGTTACTTGAAGAGGACATGTTCCTGTGATGTAGTGCGCTTGCTTGCTCAGCTCGGTTGTAGCAAGCTGCTGGGTTGCAGCAAAAGCCAAGGCGTGCTGCCGCCCGAGAGCTTGGAGCCCCGGCCCCACGAGCAGGGCGATACACTGCGATGACAGGTTTGGCCACGCACGCCAGTCAGAAAACCCAGTCCCCTCGAGCTTGGAATCCAACACATGTCCAGCCATGCAATCGAATGTTGCGTAGGCCTGCCGTCCAAGCCAGCGTCACAGCCTCCGCCGGCAAGCAATGCGACCAGCGAACGAATCAAGGTGCCCAGCGGAACAGTAAACCATTCCAGCATGCATCAATACCCAAGCATGTACCTTGCAGGACCTTCCAGCTGAATCAAGTGCTTGGCATACTTTTGTTGAGGCCCTGGCGGAAGCAGCCCAGAAGGAGCTGAACGAGGGCGAAGAGGAGACCCAGAGTTCACAGCAAGCAGGGAGACCTCAAAGGTTTGAACTGCACGCCAGGCCTGAGGCAACTATTCAGGTTACTGTTTGGCCTTGCCAGGAGGACGCCTCTGATGCCTGGGCAATGCGGCAGCTAGGCCTTGGCCTGCATCGTCGTCGTGGGGGCGAGGCGGGGATGCGGGGAGCCATGTGAACGCTGAGCCATAGAGCCATAGGCTGAACCCTGGGCCCCAATGCATCGGGGTCGCAAATCCAAAACGGAGGCTGTGGAAGTCGTCGAGACTTCGCTGGACGAGGCTTGTTTGGGTTCGCAGCAAATGCATGGATGGCTGCCCCGCCTTGTTTGTGGAAGTGCCGGCTCTATTTGATGCAATTGTTTTCGTAATGAGACGCAATGGAGGCTTCTTGGCGGGTTCATGTCGCACTAAGTTTGAAGACCGATATGATATGTCTTTGTGTTCTGGCAAATATGACCGCTGTGAGATGCATGACGCACCGGCGGTGTTCCCCTTGCAAACTGCACAAGTTGACACGTGAAAGTTGCCAACATGTTCAGAGCAAAGCTGCTGGCATGGCTTTGCAAACAAAATCTGCAAGTTGACCTCCTGTTCGTGGACTATAAGGCTTGCATCAAGCCTCAAGAGTCAGCCTTATAAGCTGATACCCGTTGTTGGGATTTGTTCTGGGATTTCTGCAGGACATGTGGATTCAGACCGGTTTGTGTTGATGCTGAATCCGGTTTAAGTTCTTCAATCTTACAGAGGCTTTTGTGGGTTGTCATGTAGGTCTTGATCATGCCACGACATGGCTGCACAACAGGTTCAACAGAACCTCTCCTGCATACCATGAATGTGCGCACTTTGTAGCAGACTTCAGCAGAGTGCAGCTGTGCCAGCGCAATGCGGAGCACAGGAGATTGCCAAACTCAGCAGCAGGGATGGCATCGCTCAGGTAACAGGCTCAGCGCATCTTCTGAAATGCTGAGAAGCCACACTTGACGTGAAGAAGCTTTCAAGCCTGCACACAACTGCTGTTGTTTGTCAGGTCCGGAAGGCTGCAGAGAGGGTGGCAAAAGGACACGATGGCGAGGCAAATAGTCCTAGGGCTGCCCAGCTCGCCATCGATCGGTGGGATCCGTATCATGATTTGCTGTTCGCATAAGGAGTCAATGTTTAAAGTTGTGCGTAGCCCGCACAGGCTGCCACGCGAGCAAAGGCAAGTGCAGCTTATCTTGGTCAGACGTTGTTGGCTAGGCTTCGATTATGATTGTGTTTTAGCCGTGTGCATCAAATGCCTCCAAGGCGATCCCAGCAGCGTCTGAGGCTATGGCAAGGCGGGCTTCTGAAAGGTCAGTGCAGGATGTGTTAGCCGCGATGTGAGCTGGTTGCAGCATAAGACAGCATGTTGAAGCTTCGCTTTGCCAGGCTCTGGTCCGCGATCAAAGGCCTCGAGAGCTCTGCAGGGGATCGCGATGCAAAGCTGGCAGCCGCTTCGTTAGCACAGAAAAGGGGAGACAAAGGTCGCCATACAGAGATGATAGCAACGCTACAGGAGGGGAGCGTGTCTTTAGGATCGGGCATTCCGTGAACGAAGGCAACAGAACCTGTTTGGAACATGTACACAGAAAAGTCTTCTTGTCCACGACATGTTGTCCACACCAACTCGAGGAGCTTACGGCCCAGGCGGAAGCGGCGCAGGATGAGCTTGCGGAGATCGAGCCATGGGCCGCAGAGTCACGAAATCTCACCAATCATCGCTATGCCGCTATGCCTACACCATGTCCTCGCATAGGGATAGAACAGTCCAAGGAGCGTCGAGACAAGGACATCTCACGCATGCTTCGGAGCGTGCAGGAGCTTCTTGGCCTCAGAAAACTGGACCAGAGCTCGACAAGATATTTGTTGAGAGCGAAAATAGTGTTGCCCCAAAGGCTTTGCAAGAAGTTGGCTAAAGCTAAAGGCGTGATGGGTGAGCCAGTGCTGCCATGGTCCACAGCTAGAACGCGAAGCCAGCTAAGCAAGCCCATGCTGCTGGCAGCCTCCAGGGTCCAGGGTGAGATCCTCTTTTTGGGATCGGGACAGTGGTCTTGTTTACGTAGGGATGTTTGCACCTAGTCATGGTCGCAAGTGCAAAAAAATCTAGCAGATTGTGCAGCAGCAGAGGTCTGAGAGACGATTGACGATTCAGGTGGTCCTGTGCTTAAGCTTTCCAAGGCTGGAAGAGCTGGCCTGGTCATTGGGAGGGCTCTTGGATGAGAAGTCGCCGAAGTGCAAGCAGGCCTCATGGCAAAAATTGGTGGTCTACGACTGCTTACGCAACATGGTGGAGAAACTGCAGGACTCTATGATGTCACAACCTTGCAGGCTCTGAGCATAGCATGTACTTCAGCCCAAAGCCCAAGACTTCTCATTCGGCAGACTGCACACACTTCCGACCTTTGTGTTTCTCCATCCTAGGGCCTGCGAAGCCAGGCCTCGAAGATGTTAGCTCAGATCGAGGAAGACTTCTCCCGGCGGCGAACCACGCGACGGGCCAAGGACCAGCTAGCAGAAGCTTCAGAGCCAAATGTTTGCCTTGAGCCGATTGACTATCGAGCTTTGCGGAGAGGTGCGGCAGCATGCCTCTCTGTGCGTTTTCATTTCTTGCACTTGCGCTCTCAAGTATTTGAGCTGTTGCCCGGGATAAGCTGATTATGCTGAGCAAGCATCAGAAACCCAGCGGTGCGAGCTCATTGAGCAAATGGCTTGGGCTCTCTTGAAGGCTTGCAGAACTCACGCATGCCAGGACATGGCAGAAGCGTTGCAAGAGACTGGAGCCACCCTGACATACCAGCAAGAGGACCAGGCACAGCTCCTAGCCACTTCAAGGCATGGAGCCAACCTGGAACTTGAGTCCTTCTCCAAGGCACTGGATGGCAGTGACGCTGAGAACGCAGAGCAGGCTGGCCAGTTGACAACGCAAACTCAGCTTCTAAGTTTAGTGGAGAGCCCTTGGTGGCCATTGCATGCGCAACTCTTGTGGTCCCACAAGAACATGGAATGGTGGCGGGAAATGCGGGGAGTTGTGGTACACCCCAGGAGGTGGTACTGCATCCGCTGCTTTTGTTAACTTCATTCTAATCACGTTTTGTCATGTTCATCCTGAGTGCCCTCAACTGTGACCAGCGCACTGCAGCGCGGGCTTGGCGTCCGCATGCCGGAGAGAGAGAGAGAGAGAGAGAGAGAGAGACCCGTCACAAGAAAAGTATGGCAATCCCCTCCGGGGCAGGGGCGTAAGAAGTGTTCTCTACTGTCCTTGGAGAGTGGCTTGCCCGAATGGTAGGGTAGCGAGAGTTTGGTGCCATGCCGTTTCACATGTCCCAGGGAAACTTGTGCGAAAGGCCAAGGCCACTGCAGCATCCAGGTCGGTTGCTTGAGCATACAGCCCTTTGGTGGTATCCCTTTTGCTGTTGTTTGCTTGGGGCAGAAGATGGCCCAACAGGTATGCTGTTGTGAGCTTGAGTTCCCTGTAGCAGCTTCAGAGGATAGGGGGAGAAGTGTTGTTTTGTCTGCTGTTCAGCTCCACGCCCTTGTCCCCAGGTGCTGGTAAGCTAACTAGTTTCTCAGACTGAACTCCCTGTCTTTCCGGGCCTGTGCGCAGACCGCCAGTAGTGCAGTCGGTGCTATGCTTCACCACCGGACCCAAAGCGATGAGAAGCATATGGGGAGCTGCAAGGGAACATGCTGTCGAACACTTCTGTAATCCGGGCTAGTGATTGAGGTGACTGTCTTCGCAGCTTCCTGTATGTTTGGTAGTCGGGACCTGGGACGGTTGCGTGCCTGAGACAGCGCTGCTTGGGGCCGGGCCCCAGCCCTCTCCATGTGGGGAGGGTAGAGCAGGGAGAAGAAGAAGAGAGAGAGAGCCCTTGTACTCGCGGCACACTAGGGTGTTTTGGAACGTACTGCAACTCTTTCTCCCCCAAATCAGGCCTAAGTGTAATGCCCCCACTCTGAAACATCGAGGGGTAATCTAACCTGTCTGCCCAACACGGGCTAGGCATTGACGCCCGGAGGAGGGAGCAATCCCGCCTCCATAGCTTGAACGAAAGAAAGAAAGAAAGCCCTTGTACTTGCCCATTACAGCCCAGTTCCAAGTATAAATTCTATTGGGCCAGACGTTGTTCACACTAGCAGGGATAGAGCTGTTTGCACCTCGCAGGGAAACGGCCTGTGAAACAGTTTCAAAAGCTGGGAAACCATAAGCCTACCCTAGGAAACATGTAGACGGATTATGGGTCCCGCTTTCTTTCTACTTTGTAGTAGAGTTCCCAGTCTTCTTGAAACAACTAGGGGTACACACCAGTCAGCCCAACACGGGCTGGGCAGTGACGCCCGGAGGGGGGCTCGCCCCACCTCCATAGCCTGAACGAAAGAAAGAAAGAAAGAAAGAAAGCCCTTGTAGTTTTCTATTCAAGTGCGAGGTCTCGTGCAGTGGTACTGGATGCAAAGAGGCCAAAGCCAGAAGTCGTGACCAGCAGCTACGCCCCAATGCAGGCCTCGCAGGCCTCGGCACGCCGTCGCCGTCGCCGTGTACAGCGAAGCGGGGACGATGGCTGGGTGGCCAGACCTTTTGGAAGAAAGATTTATGGGGTTGTTCAGCAGTGGGATTCTCTGGGATTGGCTGGCATCGGGACCCAGTTCCAACTTACACAACCTTCCCAAGGAGTGCTGGTCTCCAAGCTAAGGACACGTCAGACCTCAGCGAGGAGGATGGCAGCTGTTCTGAACATGTTTTCAAGTGTCGCGGGCATCTCCATGCCGCACAGGGGAGGATGACCAATGTTTTCAGAGTCAACAGCATCGCCTGAGGTCTGGAACAGGCGAGGAAGGATCGCTCCACGTTTTCTGCAGCTGTGCTCTGCTCAGTTGACTGCACATTTCGAGTGTAAAGAGTGAGGTGCTTGCAGAGTGCAGAGCGCGTGAAGCCATAACCCCTCAGGTGCAGAAGCAGTTGCTAGAAGATGTGTCTGAAGAGTTTGCCAGCGCCAAATCTGTGCTGAAGGTGCACTGGCCCCACTGATCCGCACAAGTACAAACAGCTGCATGACAGTCAAGCTCGCCCTTTCCATGTGGACAGGCTCTGAAGTCAGCGAAGAGGAAGCTGCAGGACGAGTACCGTCAGGCCGGGGCTGGTTGGCGCGTCCTGGCCTGATTCTGAAGACGTGCGGCTTTCACATAGGTGTGCAGTTAGCTTCTTCGGGTTCTGCAACTTGAAGACCGAGCTGACAGGGACTAGCTGGGCTAGCTGAGGGTATCCTCGGTCCTCGGTGCAGGCTTTCGTTCACCTGGCTTTGCCAGAAGTTTTCGGCTTCTTCGTCGACTTCTCCGCCCTGTGGCCACTTGCCTCCGCTATGCAGTGGGGAAACCGTTGGGGCTCTGCTTGCTTGCCCATTTCCATGCTTTCCGGCTAGCTTGTGCACCTCTATGGTTTTCTTGCTACGGCTTTTCCAGTTGCTAGACGTCAACTCTGCCCATATGTGACCTGCCTGAGTAAAGACTGAGCTCAAACTTTCCCAGCACATCTCATGGCGATCGAAGTTGTGCCAAACTTTCTCCAAATTGAAAGACACAGGAAAATAAATAGATGGCCACCACCTTGCTTCAAAGTGCTTGATTTACTTTCAATACGCTTATCGAAAATTCATGTGTAAAAGCCGGACGACGAAAGGAACCCCTACCTCAATTCTCAATCACCTTCGAAGGTCCTGGTGATCAGACCTGTGAGGGGTATGGTAGATCTGCCATAACATTGTGATAACGTGCTGGAAAGGCACAGGGTCCAAAGAATACCTATACCTTGCAGGAGTATGCAGGAGTAGAAAGTTGCATAGATATGATTTGATAAGCTTTTTAGAAGGCTCCATACTGCGGATGCAAATTCTAGCATCTAATCCAGGTGGGATCCGCTGCGGCTCCTCGCTCGCTCTGAGGACACCTTCGGACCTCGAAAGGCTGATGACTAAATGCAAAACAGCTTGCAGAATTTACTTTTCTTGCCGTGCAAGGCAATAACATCCACACAGCTGGAGTCCTTTGACTGGTTCGAGGCCTCACAGTTTGAGTGAAACGAAGGCTGGAATCTGAGCATCGTTCTAGGATATGGCTGCCTTTACCGAACTGCTGGGCGACGACGACCCTGACGGGGAGCCTCCAGTCAGAATTGGAATGCCAGAATTGGAATGCAATGCCTGCTAGAGGGCTGAATTGGTAGTCTACGTGCGATGCAGCACGCTAGAGGATTGTTTCGACGTGCTGGTGCATTTTTGCACATGCTTTTGGCCCTTGACCAAACAGGATATAGAAGTGAATGTAGCCAGGCTGGTGCCGAAAATCGTGCAACAGTGCATCTTCCCGGAGGTTGGCCGGCGCTTGCGCCCAGGTCGCAAGGTTGAAGTCAGTGGAGGCCTGCGCCTGCAGGGGCCCGAAGGATAGGTAATGAGAGCAGTATCCCGACATGAAGGTCACCTGAATGAAACTTCTACTGCACAGCCCGCGTCCCGATGACTGAAACTGCGAAGCTTCGTCAACAAATGGTCTGTCCGAGGCGTCAGTGCTGGGATGTAACCTCAATGACTCAAAGCCAGCGTGCCGCAGCTCTGTGTCCAGATCTGCATGGAGCTTCAGGGGTTGGAAGAGGATTTCAAAGGGACCTAGGCATGTTTCGATGGAAGCTGTCCAAGCTCCCATCCCCAACTGCGATGTTCCAAGCTGAAGGCATTCTGCAGGGGGTTTTGATTTGTCCTTCACTTCGAAAACGCTATACTGCTATCTTCACTCAAACCAAGGCTGGACGAATGCTTGCTCTTCGAGGCCTAGCTGAAAGCACAGCTTTCCTGGGTTGAGATGTAAAAATCATTTTGGCTGGACGCAGCGCCGGCCGCCAAAAGGGCGTGAGGGCAGAAACTCGCATCATTGGAAGAGGCTTAGCTGGGCTCCAGGTCGGTGATGGAGCGGAGGCCTTTGGCGAGCTCGCCGAGGCGTCGATCTGATTCTGTTGCTAAACAGGCCTTGAGGCAGAACGCACGGCCATTGGGAAGTAGGCTAGTCCAATCGGGGGCAGCTGCAGTCGCAGACTTGAAATCTCGAGTGCCAGGCAGCTATCGAGCGTCTCCGGACCGGACTGCGGGAATTCGCACCCGATTCCCGGTCTGCAGCGTCTTCTGTTCGGTTCCACGATTGTGCCGTGCAAAGTTTTGGAATCCAGTACAGCTGCAGCATGCACTTGAAGTTAGGGTTTCCCTTGTCTTCCTAGAACAGCTTGGCGTCCGCATCACTTGCTGCTCAGGAAGTCTTTGTACCAGCACCTCAGGCGCCACCATGCTTGACTTAATAGCTTGCACCATGTCCTTCCATTCCAAACAGCAGGATGCGTGCCCCCAAACACTCTGGAGCCCGCACATCCCGCATCCTTGTGCACAAGGTCTAGTTTGGTCTGCGGCATCCGCACATGCTCCCTCAAGAAGTCTAGGGCCTTCCGCTGGGAAGCGCATTCGCGTGCACGATTTCTGGGAACCTTGTTGCTTTGAATGGCAGCAGGTCACCACCTGGTATGCCTCCGCTGCTCGGAAGCGTCTGTTACGCCGGAGCTGCAAGCACCTTTGTCAGCAAGCTCCAACGAGCGGGGTTCCCGATGTCAGCTGCTGTAATGAGGTCGCGGAACTTTCATGCTTGAGGGGTTCAGTTCAGTCGCCAAGGATTGCAGCGTGCGCATGCCAACTGCAGGGCCGGGTTCCAGATGAGAAGCTACTTGCTTGCAACTAAGCTGTTGCTTTGGATCTTGGAAGGGCCGCCTGATTCATGTCAATGCCAGGCTTGCGCCAGTCATACTGCAGGACATCTTCGCAATGCGTGCCCTTGATGGAATAGTGTGCACTTACAAAAGCCCTCTTTCAAGCACACAAACAGCTAACGTCAGAGTTCATGAAACACCAGCAGACAAGACATGCCTGAAGAGTTTCCCATTTGCCTGTGTGTATGCGTATGAGGCAAGCTTTCTTTCGCGTGCTTGGGATTTCTGCTGCTCGAAAAGCTTCAAGTCTTGCATGAGAGCTGCTGAGGCATTGCGCCTCATCTCCAGGCCGGCTGGTTTTAATCGGCTTTTCGTCAAGAGCGGTTTGCTGGTTCATGTTTGGAGGTCAGGATTTTATACACCTTGTTGCGAGGCCCCACGGCTTCGACCAGAAGAGATGGCCATTGTGGAGCCTTGGCAGTTTCCACACTTCAGGCTCTAAGAATGTTCTTGTTCAGCATGCGCGCGAACGGGCCGCGGGTAGTGGTTTTTCAATAAGCAGCTCCGTGCCGCAGGGCAACTTCCTGAAGCAACTCTTCACCTTGTAAGTTTCTTGCCGGCTTATCTAAGGAGACGTTTGTGAACGTGCTTCCCGAGAGGCGGTCAAGCCATCTAGGTTTTCTAGTTGCATTTGCAGCCTCTCTGTGTGCAGGTGGTTTGAAAATGGCCTCCCGCCGCCTTTGCGACCGCTTCGCGACGTTCTGGGACCAGTCAAAGCACCTCTTGAAGTCAGTACGTGATCCTATCCACATTACCCTACTGGTTGGCAAAATCTGACAGACCGGGCATTTGGCTCGTCAGGCTGCCCAGCCTGCATCGTTTTTACAAGCCACCTTCACTCAGACCGCCATCTTTCGCAGGACCCAGGGCCCCACCCAATGCAGAAGCGACGAAATCCACGGCGATCAAACTACTCCGCCAGATGCACTGATGCTTGGCATCGATATTGGTACGGGATTCTTGATACCCTCGGCTGGCAGCCTCAGTGGGGCAACAAGCTAAAAGATGGGTAGCTGGCAATGCCGTGCTCAGAGAACCTTGCTGTAATATTTGCTGTAGCTGGCATTTGCATGAGAAGCGGCTGGTGCAGGCTACGACGAGGCCCAAGCCCTGGAGCTCTGACATGCTGCCCGCTGCCAGTGCAGAAAAGGAAGCCGTGAGTGAGCTTGCTTAAGATGCTGAAGCTGCGCATGTGTATTTGCAGGAAGTAGGGACGGTAAGGAAGTAGATTTGCAAGGTTGAAGCTTTTGCTGTGTTTGTCATGTCTGTCCTGGCCCTGGCCACCGTTCAAGATTGAAGATACCTTCTAACTGCAAGGGCATGTCGCTTGTCAGCCTGCCTGGCAGATTTCGAGACATGTCTTCATTCCAAACCATTCCAGCCTTTTCGTGCCATCCTCACACTTTTCTTTACCTACTACTACATATTACAATATATTACCCATGGGGTGTAGTGTAGATCACGCTCAGAAACAATGCAAACTACACTTGCCCAGAAGGCGTCAGAGGGTGATAGAACTTAGAGCGAGTAATTAGTCCGTGCTACCCCGGGTCTGTACAGCACGGAAGCGCACATGTGTTTTGCACGTCCTGGCGCCGCACATAGACGGCGATAATGCTGGAGCCACTGACCAGTCGGCGAATTCTTCTGCCCCTACACGCCGCGGGACAGCAGGCTCACCCACAAACAGTAGAACCTGGACGCTCAGAACCTGTGCAGCATCCAAGTCCCTTCCCACTGTCTGCAAGAGGCATTTCTCCAACCAGGAACACGTATTTGGTGCGCACGTCGTTGTTCCCGCGCAGGGCTTCCTTGTCTCCACGCCACCTAGCGAGCAGCGAAGTTCTGCTAAGCCCTCGGCGTAGTGTGGCTCCTTTCCCAACGAACCTGGCCACCAATGCTCGACACAGTATCAGCGGAATCCGCGCAGGATCACCCACCCGCTACCTCATATCTGGCTCGGCGCCAGCTGCCAGCCCTACACCGCTGACCAATGGCTACGTCCGTCCAGCATCACCGTGTTTGGTCCAGAGACGACGGATCCCGGTGGACAGTCAATCGACACCGAGGCTTCAGCCCGGGCAGGTGCACAGTCGGAGTCAGGAACCTCTCACGCTGATGCACCCTTTACAGGGTTTAGTGGTGCAAGCCCCGAGCCCACTGGCAAGTCCAGGCCGCGAAGCGGCCAGCATGGCTAGCCGAGGGACAGGTGGCTCAGGTGACGATTGCCTTGTGAGGCAGCTCAAGGCACTGCAGGAAGCCAAGACTATGGCAGCCGCCAAGCAGGCAGAAAGTGACAGCATGATTGCAAAGCGCCAAGATCAACTTCGAAGAGAGACTCGCTGGCAAAGGTGGGCGTTTGCTGTATACTTTGTTGGCGCTTCCCAAAAATTATCAGGTTACCGTGCTAGCTGAAAAGTATTTTCTGCGAGTGAGTGGTGTGGGGCCTACATGCGAGCAGACCCTAAGGAGACCTATAAAGCCTTGCATGCCAGCGGCCTCGCAGATGACACTTGGCTAAAAGCGGCTAAGGATGCTTAAGTCTTTTGATCACGGCGCAGGCTGCACAATTGTGTGACAGAAGCTGCATTTGAAGAGAAGTTGCCTTAGATGGCACCATGCAGCAGGCTTTGATCATGAATGGGCTTCCGATGAAGTTGCGACAAGGGTAGCACGAGCTCGGTTTTGATTGCTGGTACGGGCCTAGCGCATGGCAAATCTGCTCGCGAAAGCCCAGGCCCTTCGGCGCTGGCCGCCGCCTGCGGAGACAAGCCCCGAGCAGCGAGCGGTGAGTGTTTGGGCGGTGGTTCAGTTCTGCAGAATTAACAGCATGTTAGTAAGCATTAACCGCTAACGCGAGACCGCCGCTGCAAACATGCTGAGGCGAGAGAGAACGAGTTTCGTGACCTGCACCGCAGCTCTCGCTCTCCTGACCCCCCCTCCCCCCCACCTCCTCCCTGCCCCCACACACATTATGCCCTCTGAACCCTAAACCCAAAACCGCGTCTGGCGGGCAACACAGATGTTGCAATTAATGCGGCATTGTCAAACGTGAGCTGCATGCTTCAACCAAACCATCCCTCCTGCCACAGGCACACCTCTTCCTTGTTGCCCCACCTGAAATCCGTGTTTTTGGGCTAGGGCTTAGGGGGACCTTTCGGCCCTTCGCCAGCCCGCGCGAAAACCCAGACAACCGCCCGGACCCCCCCCCCTCCGCCTCCGGAAAAAACAGAGCCGATCCCCTGAAATCGTGCGGACTGAGAGGGGGTGGGCTAACTTCCTCTTCTAGTCTCCGGCTCTGGATAAATGCCCCAGGCCTCCGGCTTCGGCGGACTAGGACCATTGCTTTGTCTCGAAAGATGCAGACCCATGTGCGTGTTGTTTTCTGCTAGCGCACATTCTAAACTTTTGTGTAAGTACCTATTGACTGCGCGTTGAGCCGTGGATGCGGTTGATGTCTTCAATTTTCTAGTGGATCCCACGCGCGCAATCTGAAGTCAAGGAGAGCTCTGCGAAGTAGAGCCCGCGCTTACATCATCGCTGGAGGACTTTCAGGAGCGCACGCCTGTCTGTCTATATCATACACTATCATGCCACGAAATGCCGAAGAAACAAATGCTTGCTGTCATGGCGCAATCTGTGTGCTTATAAATGACCCAAGCGAGTCAAATGACATCAAGAGCCCCGCAGATCAGCAAAAGCGTTTTGAAATCCATCACACTGTCCCTTTCTAATCTGCACCTCCCCAGTGACGCAGCGTGAAATCCTACGCACAGTATCGTCTCAGGAGGAGAAGCCGGCGCTCGACGAAACTTGGAAGGCGGGCGAGGGAAACTGCGACAGCGCATGCGAGTTGCTTTATGGCCATACAAGTCTATGCAGGCGCCGCCGGCTCATGAACGTGCGCGTGCCGTGCACGTGCTGGAGCGCTTTCCAGCTGCAGAGGAACCGCCTTTGCCGCCACCGGCGCCCGCGCCGTCCGACCCTGCAGAAGTCGGCTCAGAGATGGCAAAAACTGGCTCGCTGAGTTCAGCTGCTCGTGGCCGGCGACTTTCCACGAAACTTTTTTCGGCAGAGCAAGTTCAGCACTGCTCAAAGGAGCTACGCCAAATGGCTGCCCATGTCTCTCTGAAGGACCTCAGGGATTTACGCATGCTAAAGCGGCCTCCTCAAGCTGTGATGAGGGTGCTGGAGGCCTTGAGTGTGATTTTGGGCGAAAAGAGCTTGAAAGCAGCAGGATTCAAAAAGCTGCTGGCAGACTCTTTGCCTCAAAGGCTTGAGAGCTTCGACCCTGCAACGTTGACTGCGGCCCGCTCGGCAAAGGTGCAGGCACTGCTGGCCTCACCAGATGTTCGTGCTAGCGCAATGTCCCGGATGTGCCGCCCCTGTACTTCCGTGGCCCAGTGGTGCGATTGCATCCAGGAATTTCTTGCTCAAGCACAATCAGGATTATCTACAGCAGATCCGCTGCAGGCTGAGAATGAGGAGCCTGCGCTCGAGGCCCCGGCAGCACAGCTTTCTGAAGATGGACATTCAGTGGAGGAAAATGGAGCACGTCGAAGGGAGCGGGTGAAACTACTGGTTGAGCCTGATCTATCCATGCTTACACGGGAGGAGCGCGCATCTGTAGCGGAGTTGACAGTCACGGCACCTGGCATCGGATCAGTGATTTTCCACGGGAACACAGACTGCACAGGCCTGGACGTCCAGAAAACGGTGGTCCTGAAGCAGGGCTACGTGCTGGTGTATCCTGATCCAGCAACCAAACCTCCCCCTGGGCAAGGCCTTAACAAGCGAGCGACCGTAACGATGTACAGATGCTTTCCACCGGGCGAAAGGGTCAAGGATGACCAGGCCATGGAAGAGTACAAGGTCAAGATTAAGGAGATGACGGAGGAGAATACTGCTTGCAAGTTCATCGATTATGATTGTTCGACTGGAGTTTGGAGATTTCAGGTGGCCCACTTCTGATGTTTGCCAGACTAGGTGTCGCTCATGCGGGCAGACGGGGCGCTGCATGAACCTTTAGATTTTAGATGCAGCGCATGATGCCTGGTGCATCCCTTCTACCTGCAGTGAGTGCTTTGTCAGCTTAATGCAACTTAACCTCCCCTGCAGCGTTTCAACATGTCACAACAGTAAGTAGCTCGGCCCAATGTCATGCAATCTGTTCCCCAATAGCAAGGAACGTGCACCCCTCACAGTCACATTGAACCATTCCAAAGTCAACTACGGTGCGTATCATCAAAATCATCTCGAAGCATGGCTGCAGGCTAAAGCAAGGAAATGGTTGCCTAAGAACTGTTTCAAAGCTTGTTTATCCAAAGAGTTCCGTTACTGATGATACGTCATGAATCTATTTAAAACGTACTGGAGCCTAATGCAGTTTCCAGGACACGTAGGTCTAATGTATCTATTTATATATATATACATATAGATAGGTATAAATGTGGGACAGACAATACCTTGCCGGAAACTCGAGGAAGTCCCATTTTGAAGTTTCCGTTGATTGCGGTCTTTGCTAGACTCTCTAAATTTTCCAACGTAACAAGTCAAAGAGTAGTAGTCCAGAGTTCAGCTCTCCACTTTTTTCCATTTTGGGTGTATGTTTGTCAATGGGGAAAAGCGTCTAGTCATTGCATGCCCATGCGTTCTTTACGCTGCTGGGGCTGCGGAGGCCTGAGGAGGACAAGGCAAGCGCGTACTACGGTAGCATCACACTGAAACATGCAGTTGTTGTTGCTCCCATGCTTGTGAAACAGCTGACATCCACACTGGCATCGTATGAGATGAGTACAGTAGCAGAGAAGCGCTTGCGGACTTCCAGTGGCCGTTTCACACGATTTGGGAGGGGACCAAATCGTTATCAACTCTCGCTAAAAGCACCGACATGCTCAATTTGGGGTGTCGGTGGTCATCGGTGTTCATGGTCAGGCGTTTGGTTGATCTGCTCCTGCAATTGCAGCAGTTCGCTCATCATGCAGCATATGCCCGCCCCTGGCATACCGCGTCCGCTCGTCCTTGAAGCAGGCCTAGGCCTAGAAGTCAGCGCGCGCGCCACTGGCATTTTCAACAGGGAATCCCTCTTCAGCACCAGTGCCGCACCCTTGCCAGATGCCCCTCTGCCTTTTCCAATCATGCTAAGCAATGGTGCTTGAGGGAACCTTCATTAATTTTGTTACAATGTCTGCAGTCCGTCCGTGCTTGGCTACAGAGGCCTCAGATGATCTGGAAGCTATGAATCTAGCAGTTCAGCTGAGGGCAGGAACATTTCTGCCCCAGAGCCATGGAGCCCATAGCAGGCCTGCGAAGAATTCTTTCCCCGCCTCGACCAGGCTGGACAGCCGTGATTCATGATGAACTTTGCGTAAATTACTAGAGGCTGATCAAGGCCTCCAGGGGATTTGCCCCTGCAACTTTACAAGAACATGCAACTTTACAAGAACATGAATATGTGCACCTGTTTAACAGGAATGGACGCAGACCCACTATATATGTGTGACAGACTTTGGGTCCTGCTACCGAGCTCGCGAAGACATTCCTGCTATGACAGGGATCCCATCGCCAAGCCCGTCGGCAAGCCAGCTGCGCCAGCTGCCTGTCCATGCGCCAGTGCAAGGTCTCTCCATGGGCCCAGGCCTGTGACAGAAGCATGTTCAGATGTTCAGAATGATTGAACCAGCATTGTGCGTGTGAGAACCCTTGCCAAAGCATCAAAAAAGGAATTTGCGAGCCCTTTGCCAGTTAGGATTTAGGAGGCCACCAGTTTCTCGCTTGGCCTCATTGTGGCAAGAGAGCGCGAGAGAGAGAGAGAGAGGCCACTGGCTAACTTATATAGTAGGTAGATGATGTAGACCTCTTACCAATCCCTCTGCTTCTGCACTTTTGAGGGGTCCGCATGCGCTAAGTTGGCGTCAGGACTGCGTATGCAAGTGCTTTACTCATGTTATCGTCTGTGATGGCACACATGAGGTTCTGGGGTTCAGTTGAACAATGCGATGTTTGTCTGCAGAAAGGTTTTGATGTCAATGTCCCATTCCCGGCTCAACAGACTCAGACATGCAACGCTCCATGTCAAGACATGAGGGGGACTGCTGGAGCCTTGGTGTCCCATCCAGGTACCGCGCTGATTCGGGGAGGCACTGCAATGATGTCTTGAGGATCTTTGAAGTATACACTCAAAGTTAGCAGATCCACAGAGCGATGGCACGAGACAACGAAGTAAAAAGGCCGCTGGACGAGTGATTGTTTGGTACCTGTTCACTCGAGGTTCGCCAGTGAGAGTCATCTACTCGCCTGGACCCGTTGCACGCACCTGGGCTGGAAAAGTGCGACGTGGGAAAGCATTGAATGTAAATTTCTGTGGCAAATCGGCTCTGCAGAGGGGCCCTGAGGCTCAGCCTCGCCGCCCTCACGTACTGGCACGACCTTCCCGGGTGGCACCTCTTCGTCGGTTTTCACTGCAGAAAAGATGCTGTCCACAGACATCTTGTCAACATTTGTTAACGCTGCAGCAAGAGCGTCTCCAAATGCAACTGGTGTATCAGCAGTACCCCTGAAAACGCAAAGACGGCCAGTGAGGATATGTCACGAGTTGAAGGGGCCTCAACATTCCCTCCATTACAAGGCTTGGGCCTTGCATCCAAGGCGTTTGGCGGCAACTGCCACCCGCTTCAGTCGCTTGGAGCGACAGAGGGTTGCCTTGGACATTGACATGAGTCCAGACATGCTCATTGTCAGCGGGCACCTCTCAAAAGCACGTATCACCCCCCAAAAAAGCGTTGCGCTGGAGTAGGCCTTGTTGATCCTGGAAATGCAGGGCCTGTGTTGCTGCTGCTGTTGAAGGTGCTGCTGGCACCAGGCCCAGCACTGGCGGCAAAAGCACAACATGTGGTTGGCGTCCCTTGCCTGTGAAGGCAATCAGAACAATCAGCAATCGAGGATGTAGGTCCTAAGGGCAATGAATCAAGCTAAAATGGTGCTCTAGCTGCACGACTCGGACCTACTTTGTCGCTGAAGCTGTGCTGGCTGACTTGTGTGACCATAGCATACCATAGCTGGTGGATGCGTCTCGCACCTTACTCGTAAGCACCTTTGTCAAAGCTTTCCTCCACTCCAGTCTGAGTCGCCCCAGCTACGTAGTCCTTCATGATACAGCATCCTGGAAACTTTCTTGGCGAGTTCACGTCATGACCATCAAACGACCCACGAGTCCAAGGCAAACTCGCGCTCCCCAAGTAGCTGGACGCCTGCCACACCGCACATGAGTTCTCAGATGAACTCGCAAATGGTGTACCAGCGGCCCGCTTCACCCCACGCATCTCCCCTTGTCCAGCTGCAACTTGTCCAAAGATGTGCTGCGTTTTGTTGCTGCTAGCCCTGTCTGCAAGAGCTTTTTTTGGATCCAGTGAATCCAGGCAACAGCTGCCCGTGGAATACATTGCGTCCCCTCAACATGGCAACCGCGGCGTGCATGTGGCCCCGCAGCCTGCGAGTCCTGTACGGACCCAGCTCCAAGATCGAGTTCAGCCTGCTGTCGTTATTCTGGCTGGGTGGGTTTATGCCCTTTTTCATACATTTCCATACTTGTGTGCGGGCATACTTGTACAGATGCAGCAAAACACCTAGCAACGCCAATATCGACATGGGAGCTGAGGCTCAGACTACCATGCCAAGCTGCCACGGAGCCTGTAGCGGCTACTGCCGCTGTAGCAGAAGACTCCCTTGCAAGACAACTCAAGGCAGGCTCCAACAGCCTTTACGATGGATCTGAGTGTCACAAAGCAGGTTAGATGCAAGAAATGCTCGAAGGCGCTTTACGATGCGAAGGCCAAGGCTGCGCAGATGGTGCAGGAGGAGCACTGTGCCCAGCAGGAGAGGCAGTCAGTATACGTAGGAGGGTCGGTCTTGGCCTCGCAATTGGTATGAGAAGTGCATTTCCGGGTCGTCCACATGCCCTCAGCATGCTCCGCTGTGACTCTGATGCGTACTCCTGCCATTTTTTGCGCCTACTCCCACGACTTTTCTTGCTGATCTTGCTGATTGATAGCTCGGCACAGCTTGTCCGGTGTCACGAGGATTTTGCTGCACGTAGCTTGCTAGCTATTGAATTGTTTGGGGATGTTTCAGACCTTTCTTGTCTGACTAGTCACGATTCCATGCATATTGTGGTGCTGCCCTGGTTAGTCCTGTCGGCATGCCTGCGTAGAATGATGCTCGGACTATACTGTAGTAGCATCGTGCGCACTTCGCTGTAGCAGCATGCTTTTGCTTATCATGTCTCCGTATGTCTGTCTCTGCCGCGCCATGCCTCTCTCTCTATCTCTCTCTCTCCCTCTCTCCCACATGAAGCAAATGTTAAAGTTCACGGAAAGCTTAAGTCTCATGCCAAAGTCCACAGGGAAGCTCATCTTAAAGCGGCTGAGGTTCAAGCACCTAGGCAGGGAAGGCTTAAAGCCCGGTTTTTTGCACAGATGAGCAAAGCAAAGCTAAGTGGGAAGGCAAAGCATGAGGATGTGGCGTCACAGCCAGGACTTAAGCCCGGGCCTCGCAACGAGATCTCTGGCACAGACATTGCGGCAGCTCGGCAGCCGAAGTCATGACAATGGTATTGCTGTTTCTCGCGTATTTTTGGCTATTGAACCTAGGAAGCTTTTCTCAGGCAGGTATCTTTCTGATGATGAAGCACTATCTGCTCTTTTCTTAGCTACTTGCATGCTTGTTTCCTTCAACCTATTTCTGCTGGAAACCAAGACTGACAGATGCGATGCATTCCAGCGTCTTTTCACTAATGTCGTGCTCGTCGGAAATGTAATTTGCTGGCATGCAGTTGGTTCTTTTGCTTGCCGCAAGGAGATAAGTTCACTTCAGACACGCACTGGAGCTTTGCACAAGTGACAAAACTGGCCCTCCTATGCAAACCATTCTTATCCTTCAATCTTGATGAAAGTAGATAGAAAAACAAATTGCAGCGCACACAAGCGAGTTAGATTGTTTTTCCATCTTACTGTCATATCTTGGTCTGACAATGACCGCCTTTTACAGCTGGCACAATCTGCCAGATTGATTGCTAGCCGAGGCAATGGCCCCTGCCACAGCTATCTCGTCCGGCTTCTCCCCGAACCTCGTTCCTGTATGCAGTTTGCAATCACTGTCGAATTCAGTTCTTGTGATAGAGGAGTTCTCGTGACTGAGATTCGGTGTAGTGGTGGGGCAGTACCGTGCTGCAAACTTCAAAGGCCACCGCACCCTTATGCCCGCAAATGCTTTGAGATGCCACGCGCCCTTGAGCAGCAAGACCCATTAGCATCGGTAATCAGCAGCTCGCTAAGAGAGTCGAAGAGATGGACTGGACACCGCGACCAGAGGAGAGGCGAAGACACACAGAGCTGGAGTTCGTTTTGCTCACTTGAGAGAAGCTTCCGAGCCCTGCAAGACACGCAGCGGACTGCAGCGCGGGCTGCAGATGCGCTCAAGTTTGCGTACGCTACAAGAGTTGTAAGTTCAAACTCTCAGAAAACATATAAGAAGAACCTTCGGATACCCACTAGTGCTTCCCTATCACCCAGCAGGCATGTGCTCGGACCAGCAAATGCCATTTCAGAACGTTCTTTACCCTAAGTGATGCTAACCCGGCAGCTCGACTGGAAGCAGGGATTGGCCATGACATGCCAGGACAAGGCATTGGCCCAGCATTCATCAAGACCAAGACGGAGATCTTAACAAGGGAACAGGCTGAAATGCTGAGGTCAACCAAGCAATTGCATGCGTAGCAGCTCTGGCTAGGCTTCAGATATGATTCAGATGACCAATCTTTCAAAAATTGTTCATGTTTTTTCCTTTGCTGGGTTCCTTTCTTCAGGAAGTGACGAGGTGGTCTTGGTCAGTCAGTCTTCTGAAGACAGCGCGGGGCACGAACTGGAAGAGCTGCCAAGCGAGTCGAGAGCCATTTCTCCATCGCGAGACACACCGAGCCGTGATTCAGAGACCCTGGGCTCGGTGGCCGATGCCGTTTCGGAGGACAGGGAGGATATGCCGCTTCCGCTTCAAGAAGAAACGGTTCCTCCAACGGTTCCAACACCGACTCCAATACAAAAAACTTCAACCAGCTCGCGGCTTGGTCGTTCCCGGCGACCCTCATCATTGAATCTCCCAAAGCTGGAGGTCGAACGATGTTCACGTGAGTTGAGCCTGCTTGCAAAGGAAGTATCAACAAAAGACTTGCGGGAACTCAGGATGCTGAAGCGCCCCCCCCTGGCAGTGCAGACAGTCTTCGAGGCCTTAAGGGTGATCTTGGGTGAGGACTTCCACCCGGGCCAGTCCGGAAGCTTCAAGAAGCTGCTATCTGATGCGCTTCCCAAGCGACTGCAAAGCTTTGACCCTGGCTCCATGAACACCATGCAGGCTTCAAAGCTCCGATCGCTGCTTGGGTCAGGAGATATCCATGCGGATGCCATGACTAGGATGTGCCAGCCTTGCACAACCCTTACGAAATGGTGCGACTGCATCTACAAACTCATAGATAAAGACACATCAAGGGATGCTAGCAAGCGTTTGGACGAGCAGGTGAATGGACACGCAACTACGGAGGCCAGTCCACAAGATGGTGAATGTATCCAGCCACAGACTAGTAGCCCTGCATTGCTGGTGGAACCGGACCTGTCTAAGCTTAGCAAAGAAGAACTGGCGTCTGTACAAGACCTGACCGTGATGAAGCCTGGTATTGGCTCTGTTGTTTTTCATGGTGCGACGGATTGTACTGACCTGGATATTCAATCAGACATTGTGCTGAAGCGAGGGTACGTCCTCGTGTACCCGGATGCAACGAAAAAGCCGCCTGTGGGACAGGGACTCAACAAGAGGGCCACTGTGACAATGTATCAATGCTTCCCTCCTGGCGAGCGTGTTGAGGACAAGAAGGTGGTTGAGGAATACAAAATGAAGATCAAGAGGATGACAGAGGAGAACAGCGCTTGCAAGTTCATCGATTATGACTGCCTAACAGGTGTGTGGACATTTGAGGTTGGACGCTTCTGAGGGCTTGGGTGCCTCTCCAGAATTGGAGGGCAGCCTGAAGTTGTGTTTCTTACCATTACGGAAACCCGGGCCTGCATCTGATGGAAGGGCCAGATGCATTGCAGCTGCACAGCAAAGCAACATGCAAGTGCGGAAAAGAAGTGCAGGCACTGCGTTCAGCACCGTTAAGTCATGGAGGTGATTCTTTTCAGCAAAGGTATGGAGATTCCGCGTGTAGGGAAGATGTGTTAAGCCAAGCTTGGGCCACCCAATCCCTCAAGCACAGCTGGAAATCATGCGGATTTTTGAGTTGTTTCCTCGGGTACTGCCGCAACATAACTTGGTGACTTCCGGGCGCAAGAATATGAGAAAGCTGCTCGCATCTTACTGCCTGCCATGCAGGGCTGGCGCACGGACCGCCCGCCACGTTTGCTCCGTTCATCACTGGTCCAAGGGCTTGTGGGCCTGACTTTAACTCTCCATTCATACAGTCCAGCCAAAGATGCACAACTTGTTGTCATCAGCGCCATTGACCTAGCCAAACCGTCATCTCAACAACACAAACACCGGCTGAAGCAGCTCACTCAGCGTTTGCAATGGTCAACTTCCAACAAGCATTTGCGTGCTTCAAGTTTATGATTTTTATGGCCAACAGTCAGCAGGCCTGATAATTTACAGTCGAGATTTACAATCATCAGCTGTAGCTGCAATGTCGGGACCTCTTACAAGCCCGCGCTTGTTCCTGACCCCGCCGCGGCTGCCAACACCTCCACCTCTGCTGATGCCGCTTGTGCCATGCCCATTAATTGTGCCTGGGAGGACGAGCTGCAGTTGTGTCCTGTTTTCTTGCTTTCAAACGTTTACACTTATTAGCCCTGCACGGCAGTCGGTAAAGCCTTTGGCTCAGGTAAACACGCCTCCACCCCAGGCTGGTAATCCGATCGCCTTCCCAAGTATGGCGCATGTGGGCCCTTCTCACACGGCCCGAGGGCCTTCGCCCACTCGCCGGGCATGGTCGCCTCCTCCAATGATGCCTCGGACCCTTTCACCAGCCGCACAGAGGATGCAAGAGCCAGCTCCCTACAGCCCTCGCCGGCCTGCCCAGATCCAACACTCTGCCCAACATTCCCCTGCCATGCAAAATCACCGATACCCAATTCAGCTTCAGCGTGCTGCTGTCCCAGCTCTTCCACAAACACAGAGCCCCAGACAAGCGCAAACTCAGCCTGGAAGCACCTCCCCAATTCAGATCACTCGCATGCCGTACCCCATGGTGGCGCCACCAACTGTGGCACCCCAAAGGGCTGCGCCTCCTGGCCCAGATTGTCGCTCACCTGCCAGTTGGGTGCCGGCTTCCCCTCACCTTCCCGAGCTCCAGAGACAGAGACATGCATCACCGCAGCCGCACCTGACCAACACTCGCCACCTGCCCGTGGAGTACATTGCCTCTCCAGAGCAGATGTGTCTGGGCTGCGTTTGATTGTTTTGTTTGTCGGCTTCCTTGTTTCAACCAAGGTACCGAATGCTGGCTTCACAGGGGAGGCCCACGCGGCCCGTGGCAGCTCCAGGCATCTTGCAGCTCGGAAAGGATAGGTGAATGGCCGAGCTGCCAAAGCTCCGAAAATCAGCTGAGGCAGCTCTCCGCGCGTTCCAGCAGCCCAGAGTTCACACCGCGCAAGATGGTGCTTTCGGAGAAGCCCAGCGCAAGCCCTGCTCAGACTGAGGAGCCAGGTGAACAATGTAGGCATTCCTCCAGCTTTCGAGAAGCAGCAATTTCGTCGCTCCCAGGAGGAGATGGATTCCCTGGCAAAGCAGCTGCGAGCCCTGCAAGCTGCAAAGGCCGGAAATGCTGCAGAGTTTTCTTGGGTTGCAAGCTACAAAGCTTGGATAACGTCAACAATTTGGTGGGCTCGCTGGAGCTGTGGAAATGACAGCCTCAAGCCGTTGAGGTTGATGCCGCAGCCAAGCAGGCCTGTCGATTTCTGTCTAGGGCAGTCGCTTCAAGATTGGGTAGGCTTTGTGGTAAGGGCGGGAAGGGCCTCTGGCTTGACCATTCCACCTCTGTGAAGCGCTACAGCCTACTTGTTTTTTGTAGTAGACACCAACGTATAGACGTGGCCCCTATGAATCATTGCCTGCTTGGGTGACCAATTATTTAGACAGAAGATCCGGAGCGCTCTTCCATGTCCAGCTTCAAGTCCCACCGGTCACGTCAACATGTCAGGCGGAGAGCGACCAGTTGATAGCTCAGCGTCAGGACCAGTTGCGGAAGGAGCTCAGACCAATATCTCTGCGTTGTGTTGCGACGTCAGGAAGCATGAAGCCAGAGAGTACTCGAAGCAACGAAGTTGTAACATCGCGAACTTACTTACACAGGAGACCTTCTCGGCTCTGTCTGCGCAGAACCTCGGAGATCTCCTCAGGTGCCAGTCCTCGGTTTCTCCCCTTCCTCACAATTTCAGAACTTTCATCAAGTTGGTAGCTCTTAAGGCGATGGGGCCCTCCAGAGCAGCCAGATTGGGAAACGCAAGGACGCTGGGAGATCTTTCCTTGTGATATACTACAGAGTTCTTCGACCAGCACCGCACGTCACAGCCTAACGAGGGTCAGGAGAGCCATTTGAGTGGAGATCAAAAGCGTCCTTATTTAGAAATGACGGTGGCTTTAGAAACAAGGCTTGGCGTAAGCCACGTGTTGCGTTTCGTAAGGTATCGTAATTAATTCAGTGTCAACTTTGTTGCCGTAAGCGTCGTAAGCTGTTGTTGGCCGTGTTGTTGTTTATGTCCCACACAAACCAGTCCTAGCAGTTGTAGCAGCTGCCGCAAGCCAGCAGAAGCGGTGTAAGCAGACACAACAACAGAGCCATGTCGTAAGCAAAAGCTTGGAAAATGTAAGCCACCGTAAGCCTTTTTTTGTTTTTCCGAAATGAAATAGGAGTAGGGCTTCGGGCACCACTCAGTCGATTTTCAGCAGCTGCTTGGCGTGTGCCTAAGAATGCCAGCGGGTCCAGGATCGCCCCATGACACGCTCGCGGAAAGTCCCGTGCCGGCAGTGGAGGAGTCGCCGAAAGAGGCCATGGATGAGTGCAAAGTGGAGGAGCCGTTGCTGATGCATTTATGTGTGAGAACTCGTGAACTCCATCTCGCGCAGTTCCGCAGCCCGACGCATGGTGCTTTGCGCTATCAGCACTGGGCCATGCGCGGGAGAGATCAAAAAAGGGAGTTTCAGTCTAATCAAGACCAGTACACTGATGCATAATTTCTACTGGGCGTCCCCATCCCTGCAAAGGAGCCGCCGGAGGAGGCTGCGTTGCAACCGACGGAGCCCGCGCCGAGCCCACCTGCCCATGAGCGGGCCAAGCAGGCATCAAAGGCCCGGTGCGAAGCGCTCCACTGCAAAGGTAGCACCACGAGAAGTGGAATTTGCAAACGGCTTGGATGACTTCGTGCACCATTTTTCCGCCAGGCCTCCGTAGGCTCGCGGCGGTCCTCGGAACAGGACATTCAGGAGGAAAAGTCCTCCGAGGAGATTTCTCATAGCCTGAGCCACAGCTCACGAGGCGCGGACCACCCGTGAGCCGACCTTCTGACATTGAGTCAACAAAAATCGCAATGTACCAGGCAGATAGCTCTTATAGTCCACGTATGTATCGAGAATGAGCATTGAAATCATGCTCTGCTATTAATCTCTCAAAACCTACTAAACATTTGTTCAAATGCAATTTGCGGTTAGTTGTGATCAAAAGAAGGCCGACGCCCGTCGTCTCTGCTCCTGCCTTCGGAGGACGTCAGTACAGTAATTACAGAGTACGTGAGAGGAAGCAGGTTCAAGGAGTAATGCTTCGCAGTGTTGATTGCCTTTGTTCTTTAAACCCTCTTGGAGTCTGGGTGCACGGGTCGATCCTGATTCAGACTTGTTTGCGCATGTTGAGGTTCGAAGTGCTAGCCGCAAAGGCTGAGATGTAGTTGAAGCAGCACAAAGAGAGGAGGCACGTCGATGTGCAGACCAGCTAGCGGCACTGGCGCGGAGCGTGTCAGCCAAGGACATTTTGGTTGCAAGGGCAACCCCAGTTTATGAGCATGGTGCGAATCGCTTAGCGCGCACAACTGTTGGAGCAGCCAGTCTCCTGTTGTGACATGAGTGACCAAAAAAATGCTGACCTCAGCATGAACGTGCTACAAGGAGCTGCGGGAGCTGCGCATGCTAAAGCGGCCCTATGCCTAAGAACTTGTGCTTTGAGCCAGCAGAAGTCGTTCATTGTGCATTCATGTGAGCTTCTTCTTTTACATGAAGGAGAGCTCAGGCAGGCCCAAGAGCTTCAGCTTTTGAATCAAGTTCTGAAAGCCGAATCAGAGCGCAACTGACCAAGGCCTCCACAGGCTGTCATGAAGCTCCTGGAGGCCCTTAGCAGCCTTGCTGCAATTCAGTATCTGGTGAATCTCAGCTAGCCTGCCACCCTTCAAAAAATTACGAAGATGGTGGCTCAAAGATGTTCCGCTCTGTTGAATGTGCTGGCATTCAAATCATCCGAGGCATCATCCTGGGTGAGAAGGACTTGCGGCCGGCAAACTTCCGGATGCTTGGAGGTCACAGAGTCACAAGTCAAGCACTTGGCAAATCACGAGCGGAAAAGCCTGACTGTTGCATTCTAGCCAGTTCTGTAATGCTTCATCAGAAGCCCCAACCCTGATATGCACAGTGGCACAGCCTTGCCATGCGTCATGTTGAAAAAGAACAGCTGAGCCATTCCAAGGAAGCTCCTTTCCGACTCCCTCGCCCAGCGCCTGGCTGGTGTGGACCTCGCCACCCTGGGCGCAGCCCGGGCGGCCAAGCTGCGGTGCCTTGGAGAGCTCCATGCACTGCTAAAGCCATGCGTTTCCATCATGACGTTTGCGAAGATTACTTAGAGAATCTCAAGACTAGTCGTGAGTTCGGAAAATGCACTTTGCTGTGTTATAGGCTCTGTTGAAGCTTGTGCTGGGTGCATGGAATGACATGATGACGACAGCTACATGGGAGGCTTGAAAGTTCTGACAATGGAAACGGAGCGGCACTTATCCTTTCTTAGGGCCAACTGCACTGAGTAGGTCTGTAGGTACTGTCTTGAGCGGTTGCCTTATACTCATGTATGCTCGGGACTTCCTGGAATTCCTTCCAAAGGGATAAACGGGCCTCGGAAACAAACAGCAAATCGAACACTAAGAGACGACCTGGAACCCAACCCAGATAGTAGCAAAAGCGTTTGCTGGAGACCTTCGCCAGCCATTGATTTCCAGACTACTGGGCGTGCAGCCAGCATTGGCACCAGACAGATTCTTTCATGCTGAGCAGCTAGAGAGCGCGCGTGATGTTTATAGAAGCAGCTATTTCAGGCGAGTCTGGAATTCAACCAAAAAAGTGCACTCTAATGGCATCCCAGCCTAAGACTTGGCACTTCTGATTTCAGGGTGAAGGTAAGCAGGGGACTTTCCAGGAAGGGGTAGTTTGTGAGCACAGAACCCATGTGCACTGGAACCAGATGTGCGCAAATGATGCCGTTGATACCGGTGATGTTGCTGCAGCTGCTGCTGCTGGTGATGATGATGGTGATGATGGTGATGAAAGCTGTGAGTGCACAAGTTGTTGGTTCTGCGGCGCGCTGTCTATACCCATCCAATCAGTTTTCTTCATGACATCAGGTTTCGACTGCATGCCAGGAACAGTCGTTTGCTTTCTCGTTTTGTTTTTGAGGGCTTCAACCTGGCAACTCAAAGTATCTCACGCTCGGAGCGTGCTCGTTGATGCCGAGGTCGCTACTGAGCTCTCCAGACGTTAGCGCAGAGGCTGTATCCAGGACAACACGGGCGTTAGCTCAGAGAGGGGCTTTCAACCTGCAGAAGGTGGCATTGTTGGCAGGATTTGCCGGCCGTGCGGGTCTCTTGCCGAGTGGTGTGGCTGCTCTGACCTCAGCGAAATTTTTGGCTAGGCGCCAGTTGACTGCAGCTTGTACCAGGCCTTTACTCCTTCTTGTCTGGAGCTCACGAGCCGGAACCAGCTGGTGAGCAGCAGATCCTCGCATGTCCAAAGTAAAGTTGGGATGTCTTGGGATACTGGCCTACGATCTCCTACAGTCTTGTTTCAGTTTTAAGGACTGTTGAGAAAGAGGAGAAGGTGCAGCCTGACAGCACTGCCCGGCCCATCGCAGAACATTCCAAGTTGCTTGTGGAGCCGGACTTGTCGCAGATGAGCAGGGAAGTGCCTGGGTGCACAGATCTCGAAGTTTGTTCGCGAATTCTAGATGTGGCATCCGTACAGGTGGCAAGTGCAGAGTAGAAATGAATATAAGCTTGCATGCTTGTATGCACCCGCCCGTCCTATAAGCACGTACAGCGAACACAGTTTGATCAGGGTTCGCTCGACAAGCATGGCAGCTTTGTATGTGCGCGTGTGTGTGAGATAGTGAAAATTTACGGTCAGGAGAAATGCAATTTGTTCAGAATGCGTCGGCGTTTCTTGCACAGTACCATGTCCAGTGGTTTGCTGCGTGTGTGCGTGTGTGCTCCTGGGCCTGTGTGTGTGTGTGTGTGTGTGCGGTGCGACCATAAAAGATGTGTGCATGCGGAGGGTGGCCTCAACGGGTTTGAAGCTGCAATGCGTGTGCGGACATTCTCTAAATGTGGTCTTGGGCGCAGCCACTTGCAAACAAAGATGTCAGAGGTCAATAGAGCAAGCATTCCGTGTGCCAGACAACTTTGGGTGCCCTGACCTTAGGAGCTGGCAGATGTGAAGGACCTGACCGTGACAAAGCCTGACATCGGCTCCGTTGCTACCTGAATGCACACTTGGATAGGGGCATTCTGGCTTGACAGCTACAGCCAACAGACGTGTGCAAAATGAAGCGCAAGAGCATTCACATCTGAGGTGTTCCATGGCAAAACTGATTGCCGGGACTTGGACATTGCTCAAACTGTCGTGCTTAAAAGGGGCTACGCACCTACACTTGAATTGGGGCGTTTGCATGTTTTGTTGTACCCCGAGCTTTCAATCTGAGGTGCACGCACAGCTTAATAACAAGCTTGTGGCTTGAACGTATATGCTCATGATAAATGCTGTATGTGAAAAAGCGCAAAGTGCCCATATCCTGAAGGCCCGTCAGACCTTGGAGCCGTGAGCAGTAACGGGAGCACAGGGGCAAGGGCAATCAAAATTAACTCTTTCCTCATCTGTGCGTGTTAGTAGTTTTGGAACTCTGTGCTGGGGTCCTAACTTCTGCGCAATCCTCGGATCGCGCAATTCACGAAGAAGTAAAGAATTTGCAGTCAGTACCTACACATACCTACCCCTACAGTCAGAGCCCTGCATTTCGTCGTCCTGAAAACTACATTCCTGAGCCAAGGTATTGGTTTACCCAGATCCGGCCAAGAAGCCCCCACCCGGCGAGGGCTTGAACAAGCATGCGACGGTGACAATGTACCAGTGCTTTCCCCCAGGCCATTCTTGGAACCTGCGCTCAGCTCATGTTTTCGAGGTGAGTGTTGATTGGAATTATGTCCATCTCAGTTGTCTTCCATTTGTGAGTGAAGCTTTGGGCGTGCACTCTTGGCGCACCACACTGTGGTCTAGTTTTGGTGCATGTTCCGATGTTTGTTTCCACTGACTCGCGGGATGGACACAACTCATCAGGAGGCCACGTTAAGGACGAGCAAGCGCTTGCAGACTACAAGGCCGGTGCAGGATTGCACTGTGATTTGTAAGTCACGAGGCCTAAAACCTATTCAGTCGCAAATACCGATATGTCACTCACATTGCCAGCGGTTGCAGAGTGATCGCGGTCTGTGTGTGGGTGTGGGTGTACTTGCAGTGTGCGTTGCAGGTGCGTGGGGCTCTACTATAATAGTGCATTATAAGGCACCGTCTGCCTGCAATTCGAGTTGTAGGGTTTTGACTTGAAGCTTGATGCAGATGGTTGCTGGGGCATAGGGTACAAGCAAAGGTGGCAGATGGAAAATTCACGATTCGCATCTTGAATGGTGCTCGCTGCTGTCCAGGTCAAGATCAAGAAAATGACTGAGGAAAAAAGTGCTTGCACATTCATCGATTACAACTGCTTGACGGGCGTTTGGACTTTCGAAGTCGAAAGGTTCTGAGCTGCTGAGCTCATGTTTCATGCCTCATGGACTTGCATGCACTTGTGGCGAGGGCTCGGGCGGTTCACCTGGCCCCACGAGCTGCTTCAGACAAGATAGAATCATTGTGATGAGGGTCAACCGCCTGCCAGTTGGGAGGTCGGAGAGGGTCAAAGCTCTTCAAGTGCAGTTGCGAAGCCTCCGTTTGAAGATTAAATTGCATTTTTCGATTTGACAAGCTGACCCCGTCCGAAGCCTCTCCAATCTGCTGAGCCTGCCAGTTTCTTCAGTCCAGAACCGGCAACAGAACAGACACTGAGAAAGCTGAATTTGAGAGCAAGACACCGGTTCTGATCGCTTGTAAGGGGCTTGTGCCCAGATGCCAATGCCATTATGCCAAGTATGCAATTGCGGCGGAGGACCTTATTGATGCCTGTTGCTGCCACAAACCGGTTAATTCTAAGCTTCCCCAACTCAAGGGCGCATGGCCTTCATCAGCCGTATTGAGATCGAGGTCTTTCTGCAGAGACTGTGCAACAAGCTAGGTGCCATCGCACAAGCTTCCAAACAAGTTGATGCATTCCGGAGAGGAAACCAAGTACTTGTGGATCTGTGCCCTCGTTACACTTTCTGGCAGAGCTTGCTTAGTTTCATCTTAGTCGCCAGCAATCGGCAGCACTGTTTCACCAGCCCGTTGCTGAGCTGCATGTGTTTGAATTTCTTCGGCGCAACGCAATTCGCACAATGCCTAGCGTACGAAGGTCTGGGCTATTGCTTCAGGATTCGGGTGCATTCATGTACAACCTTACCGTAAATTTTGCTGTAAACTGTACCTTGCAAGTGATGCTGAGGAGCAACAATGTACTGTAGCCGCTTGAATGCATGGCAGCAGCCCAGGCGAAGTAGCGGTAGCGGTAACTCGACATGCTTCGCGACGGGCAGGTCTACAAAAGTCTCTGGAGGCTCCAGATTGCCATCAGTCAGGAAACGGCTTGCATAGCTACAGGCACGGGCGGTACGAGTTTCAAGATCAACTCCTGCATACCCTCTTAAGCCTTTCAGGCATTTTTACGTCAGAGCGGTGATAAGTAAAACAAAATGACAAACAGCGAATCGAACACCACACGCGAAAGAGGAAGTTAGCCTGCCGAATCAGCAACCAAAACTAGCCAATTGAGAGAGAGACCAAGAACTTGTTAAAGTGCCCGCTCAAATCAGCAACTTAGCTCCGTAACTCCGCGAATCAGATGTTGACCTCGATCAGCAACCAAACTTACCAAAACAGGAGCGAAAAGCATCCTGACTTGTGCAATTGTGCTTGGACACGAAAGAAAGTATCGCCTTCAGGGCAGTCCATGTGGTTGTCATTTTTGCAGCACTTAACGTTAAGGCCTCGATGACTACAAAAGCAGAGACGCGCGATTGCACATGTTTTTGGGCAGTTGCGTGTCTTGTCGCAACAATTTGGAGAGCGTGGTACGTCCTAGTTACCCAAACTCAAGAAGCCACAACCAGCGGAACATACAGCAACGTGCAAGTTGCCAGAATCATTTGCTCGAGGCCGAGTCCAGAGTGAGCCCCTTCCACATAGACGAAAGCTCAAGCCGAACCAGCAAGACGGCCAACCAGCGCTGTAGTCAACCCGCAGCGCCCACCGAAGCCACAACTCATTTGGATAGACCACGGCTTCACGGCAAAGTTGCAGACTGCACAACCCACATGTTTTTGCAAAGGCAACAGCCAGCAGATTTTTTTCAAATATTATCCATCTCCCGTCCCCTGCAACTACTGGGCTGGGTTATCTTGTCACACATAGTGCCATAATACACAAGCTATTAATTTCAAGAGAAAGTAATTACCGCCCAAACGACCTAGAATGCACCTCGTTGGGAAGGCCCGCGGCACGCTGGCTGACATTCGCCCACGCCGATACACGAACGACACTAGAGACACGTATGCTGTTTGGCGCGCGCTACAATTTGCAGTCACAGTGCAAAATTCTGGCAGCGACATGCAGGAACACATGCTGTAGACCCTCTTGCTTTGTCCAGTCACAAGGGAAAACTGGGGTGGCCGCGTATGTATTCACCGCTTCTTGCCTCTGCGACTGAATGAACAGTCCAAGTCCAAAGGGGAACTCGGGATCTTGCCTTTATGGGATTGAATGGCTCATCACTCGGGGAAGTTTTGTATGTCAGATATGTACTCTTTCACCTTGCAATGCAATGGACAGTTGCAAGGGCAGCAGTTGACTGGGCAGAGAGAGTTTGTGTTATTATGACATGCTTGACAAATCTTGACCATGACGCGCGGTTTTTGGGGGTAGCTCTTCCTAAACTGCTTATAGTAACTAAGTTATACCTTGCTGACTCAGACGCTGACCATCCTTGTTCTGAAAGGTCTGGTAACTCCTGAAAGGGCGCTGGTTTGTTGTTTTTAGCTTCTGGCTGAACTGATGCGGCATATGGAACAAAAGGCTGTTCAGCAAGCCCAGGTCCAATTTGCTTCAACGAATTCCGGAACGGCGCTGTGCCGCCCTCGATGTTTCTTTGGTGACTGAGTCCACTTAACCGCAGCTTTAAATCGGGCTGCTAACTCAGCAGACTCGTTGTGTCGGTGCCGCGCTAACATGTGCTAATCACAGGCATCGCGATTCCAACTTGCTGCTGCAAAATGGGTGGGGCTTGCAAGCAACCATGAGATACTCACTGAAAGCGTGCCCGGCGTGTGCGGCAGCTTTATGGGCCACATCCTGTAGGTCCCTTCAAAGTGAAAGCACACTGGCCTATTGCAACTGCAAGCTTCCGGGCAGTCCTGCCAGTCTCGCCCCTGTCCTGCCCGGACGTCTGATATTATGTTCGTCATCAGTTGCAAGCGGCAATGCGATGAAGTTGCCATTTTGCGGGCCCAGATGGCGGTACGCAAAGTTCACAGTGCCATCGAGCTTGCATTGACAATCACTAGGATGCCAGATGCAGATACCTTGCCTGAGGTGCTGGCACAGTTGCTGGGGCCCCGATCTTTACGGCAGATCGGCAAAGAGCCGGCAAGTATTGGTTCTTGGGGCCGGATTCCAGAGCTTCGACTCCAGAAATAGATTTGCAGCATGTTTGCGCATATCCGCTCGGAGCGTTGTTTACTGTCATTAGAGTCTTTGCTTTTCGAGGCCTTGCGGACACTGCTTCCACTGGGCCAAGCCCTCACAAATTGTTGAGCCAGGGCTTGCTGGGTTGAACAGGGCCGTCAAGGCATAGCCTGCCCACACGAACAGTCATTGTTCAGGCCTGTATCGATGCATGGCTGCTTCGAAGCAGGCAGGGTCCCATATTCACGCTGAGATTCAGGTTGACCAATACATGCACATGCACAGCAGTGCTTTTGCACTATTGGGGCCATGTCATGGTTTGTCCAGCATCGGTGGATGAAAGCTTCTCTTGGCTTGCAGTTCGTGCCCCATGCGCTGCACGGTGAGTTTGGCGGACACAACAGCAGAACCAGCTTCGGATGCTGGAGATTAGTCATCAGCATCATTAGCCGCTAGCCTAAGTCCGAATAGCCGAAGACCCTGCGATTAAAAGGTTGCGCTGTGGGGCAAAAGCTCGCAGGATGCCTTCGACGTGCAGAGAGTCTGAATTGCAGCTTCCGCTCAGTCGGTTCGGCTACTTGAAACAGTTGCAGAGTTTCCGATGTTTTGCAAAAGACTTAGTTCGACCCTGTGCATCAGAGACTCATGGCACAGGCCATGCTAGACTCCCTACGAGTGGCGATAAAGAGATGAACAATACGCCGACAAAGTCTAGACTGGGGACCAGACACCGCCAAATTGTCCTCCAACACGCGGCACCATGTCTTGGTTCAAGCTCGAGACGGGCGATGGGCGTGATGCCAACATTAGTATCTGCTCGGACAGTACAGCTGTCGCTGTGCAGTTGTTGAATCAATACAGTACTACATGTTGCAGCAGTCTATTCAAGATATTTGCAGATTTCTCCGCGCGCTAGTCCTGGCTGCGTGTGGGCAGCACAATGTTTGGCTGCCCTTCGGTCGATGGCCATGTCGTGGCGGAAGCGACTGGGCAAGTAGTGAGCACGATACTCGGCAAGCAAGGAAGGGCCAAACGCGGACAGCACCGGGCCCTCCCAAAGTTTTGGCCATGCGAAGGAGCCAGACCGGCTCAGAGGATGCAGAGAATTCTTACGCTGACGCGGCATGGTTGAAGTGAGAGCTGCGGCTGGCAGTTTGCAACCGGCACGGGATGAGAAAGCTATGGCCTCCGACTGGAATCCCGAAAACCCTTTGGCTTTCAAAACGCTTATGATATCTCATGATCTTGAGATTGGTTACGGCGCTGCTCAGCCACTGAGGTCCTAAGCCAGCACCTCCAGTCGCTGCAGGAAGCCCTGCTCTCGCAGCATGCTGCAGACTTGAACAGACTCCGCCACTCAGCAGAGCTTGAGATCCTGAAACCTTGATGACACATATCATGATCCAGTCTTGCTCAGATGCTCTTGCAATTGGCTCTTGGTTTCAGGAAGTTTCAGGCACGCATGCACGCTCAGATTCAGGAATACATGAGACGGTGGGGCCTGTATTGCAGGGTTGGCAAGGTGACCAGAATGTCAAGCTGCAGAATCAGCTCGACTCGACCCAGTCCCGGCTCCGGGAGACCTCAGCCGCTTAGCTTCCTGAAATGCCTTAGCTTCTGGAGCTTCAAAGTTTGGGTCGATTTTGTGCTGTGTGCGCTCCGTGGCAGCACAGCGTGCATCAGGTTTACCTGGGCTCTTGCCAGCTCAGGTTGATGATGTTGCAGATCTTGATGTTCTTTCAATTCCGCTTGCGCAAGGCAGTGTGATGTGCCATGTTTGTGCCGCGGGAACACTTTGGGGCTCACTGTGTTTGCACCCGAAACATGCATTTGCAACGAAGCTGGTGCTGCCACCCACCAGCTAGGGAGACAACGTAGGGGTCAAACGAATGGAGCTAGGGTGTGCAAAGGGTATCTTTCAGGGAGCAGTATGCCA